AATGTCTGCCTGGCTCTTTATATTCTAGAAAGTGTTTTTGTGTGTGTTATCTTAAAGCTCGTTTGCTCTTCAAAACATCATTAAGGCCTTCCTCTCCCTCCCTTTTATGAACTGGACTGGATTTGATGTTTTGAAGAGTAAGAGAACTACATTAGTTTGCTAGAGCTGCCATGACAAAATATCACAGATTGGGTGGCTTAATCGACAGAAACTTATTTTCTCAGAGTTCTGGAGGCGAGAAGTCCAAGATGCAGGTATCAGCAGGTTTGCTTTCTCTGAGGCCTTTCTCCCGGGCTTACAGGTGACCTCACCTTCCAGCTGTGTCCTCACATGGTTCGTCTCTCTTCCCATTTGTCTTTGGTTTCTCCTTGTCTGCCCAAATTTCCTGTTCTTATAAGAACACCGGTCAGATTGGATTGAGGTCCACCCTAAGGGCCTCATTTTAACTTACCTCCCTAAAGGCCCTATCTCCAACCACATTCACATTTTTGAGGTGCTGGGGCTTAGGACTTCAACCTAGGAATTTGGGTGAACAGAATTCAGCCCACAACAGAGATGAGAGACCAATAAAAAGGCTTTTCCATGTCATTGTATTCATAATCATACGAAATTGCCTGAACAATATTTAGACACTATTGGGGCGCCTGGGTGGCTCAGTCATTAAGCGTCTGCCTTCGGCTTAGGTCAGGATCCCAGGGTCCTGGGATCGAGCCCCACATCAGGCTCCCTGCACAGCGGAGAGTCTGCTTCTCCCTCTCCCTCTGCTGCACACCCTGCTTGTGTTCTCTCTCTCTCTGTCAAATAAATAAATAAAATCTTAAAAAAATATATTTAGCCACTACTCCCTTTTGGTTTTGTGCCTGAGGATGGGAAAGAGGAATCATCTAAGTCATGTTAGGCTATGGAGTTTAGCTGACTTTGCCTTCTTATGAGAGGAGCTAGATAACAGAATGGGGGAACCTCCAACCAGCTTCTGCCAAGAATTTCCACACTTCTGCTCTACCAAACAGGAAAGAATGTTCTATCCCTGTACTGTATAACTGAAATATAATGAGAGCCAAAGATGTAATTTTAAATTTTCTAATAGCCACATTACAAAATACTAAAAAGAGATAGGTGACATTGAGTTTAATATACCTTATTTAACCAAATCTATCAACGTAGTATCATCCTAACATGGAATTGATATAAAGAATTCTAAATGAAATATCTTTATTCTTATTTTATACTAAGTCTTCAAAATTCAATCCATATTTCCCTCTTGCAGCTCCTCTCAATGTTAACTAGCCACATTTCAAGTACTCAGTAGCTACATGTGGCTAATAGCTACTGTGTTGGACAGTACAGTTCTAAAACTTTAATACATTTCCTGGGGCAGATGTTGTCTTGAGTAGTGAAATTTAATTAGAAGCCCTTTCCAATCCAATTACACCTCCACTTATGAAATATTGCAATGACTTTCTTTGTTTCCTTTGGAATAACAGGTGAAATTTCTCTCCAGTACATCTAAGGAAATATACCTGTCACAGAGATCCTAAACAGTCCTCAAGCAGGCGATCTCTGTATGTTACTCATTGACCTAGAGAGCTAATATGCATATGTCTTCCAGAAAAGGATACAGTGATAATGGGTACAGTGACCTTGGAATAATCTATTGCCCCTATATACCACCTGAAAAGAAAATTTTATTACGTGGCTGCTCAAAGGTCCCAGGCCCTTTGGAGGTTTTCCTGAGGATCCTACTTATCACCTAGATCCACATTTTTAGTGAGACCCAAAGAAACCACTACTCCAGTATTCAAGTCATACTCTTTGGACCACTGAAAACACTTGTAATTCATGACGGTCTTTGACTCAGCCACCAAAGCTGATAATTTTACCAATATGATCACTTTAAAAAGACAGAGAGCATCAAAATGTAGCCCCAATGTGTCTGGTCTTGCCTGATGCTTAAATCCTAATACCTCTGATTAATGAATCTTGACTTATGGTTTAAATCAGCCAGTAGAGAAGATTTATTGAACAATTGCAGGTGGCTAGTTCAAGGTGAAAACAAAATAATTTATAACACATGGCCCCTGTTCTTAAAGCATTTAGTAGGACCTAGAAGAATCAGGACTTTACTCACATAGATCAAATAGGGTAATAGAAAGTCAGAGAAGGGATAGATCATCGAGATAGAGTTAACAGACAAGGCTTCAGGGAGAAGAAGACTTTTTCCTGATCTTAGGATGATCCAAGTAGAAGAAAAAGTACACTGAGTTAAGAAAGAGTACTGCTTGGGGGCGCCTGGGTGGCTCAGTCGTTAAGCGTCTGCCTTCGGCTCAGGTCATGATCCCAGGGTCCTGGGATCGAGCCCCGCGTCGGGCTCCCTGCTCGGCGGGGAGCCTGCTTCTCCCTCTGCCACTCCCCCTGCTTGTGTTCCCTCTCTCGCTGTGACTCTCTCTGTCAAATAAATAAATAAAATCTTAAAAAAAAAAAAAGAAAGAGTACTGCTTGTATGATAGTCAGTGAGAAAACTGGCTTTACCAGGGGAAGTATTTCTGTGCGGGAGGAATGGTGGTGAAGCTGGATGGGTAATATGTGGCCTATGTAAGTAAGATCTTTAACACTTGGCATATTTGGATTTGATGCAATAGTCGTTGATCACAATAGATGATTACACAGATAGGACTTAACGTGAGCAAAGTGGTGTTTCAAGATGATTTAAGCCCTCATTGACAAATGAAGAAAGAACTGATTAAGAGCAGGAAAAAAGAATGAAGAGGCTGTTGTAAGGACTGATAAAGTGTGATGACAAAAGCCTGAACATGCAATATAATAAAAGGAATAGACACAATGAAGAGATGACAAGAATTCTTTAAAGATACGCTCTCTGGCACTTGAGAAGCCAGAGAAGAGCCTCAAGCTTGTCAGCCCAGACAAGGGAACGAATGGAGGTGCTCATTAGGAAACATGGAGGGTAGGTGATTGGAAAGGTATGTGTAAAAAGTTGGAGCTGGAGATCAGGACTTGGGCAATGTTCATGTTGGATAGCTAACCTGAGTTTACCTACCCATCAGGAGAAAAAAAAAAATACATAGCTGTCCTAAGGAATCTAATCAGTGCAGGAGACTCACTGTGAAGGGCAATTCTCTCATGTGTGTTTTGTAAAGAGAAAAAACCAAGGTTCAGCCTAAAAATCATCCATCTCTGCCCCAGACAACCTCATACTTGCCTCCAAAGGTTCAAGCTCTGCACCAGTCAGAATCACTGGAGGACCTACCCTCTGACTCATACCTATTCGCAGTGACAGTTATAAAGGATGTGGGCAGTGGAAGCTGCCCCCATGTTTCATCAACAGTTTTCATCAGAGGGGAAGTGAGACAGTACAACAGTACAACTTTTGGGGGAATGGACGATTCAGTGCAAATGAGAAAGGGGTCCTGACATCTGTTGTGAATTACGCCTGCGCAAGTTGAACCCCACCCCCCTTTCCTCCTTTAACTCCTCTGCCCATCCTCGTCGAGTTGTCTCTGGAAAGAAAACGGCTTTCTTTTTATTTGGACACAAATTTAAGTTGCCTGTGATAAATCACATGAAGGACGGTTCTGACATACTGCCTGGTTCTGAATAGGGCCGTGATGATGATATTCTAGAAAGAAGATCCAAACCTTCCCACGCAAGGATCATGGACATGTCAAAGCCTTCAGGGGCTTCTTCAAGCACTGCTAAAATCCAGGAGCTAGAGAACAGACTTCGGAGCATGGGACAAATAATAAAAAGAAATCCAAGTAACAAGCACACAGCATGTTGTCCGACAGGGACCCACACGTGGGCAGAGTCTGATGTTCCGTGAACCTGATAGCAATGTTAAAGACGTCTGACACAGGGTAGCAGGGACTCTGGCTGAAGCACTGGGGTTCAGGCATAGGGCTTTGTGTATTGGAGGAATTCAAGGGAAAGACAACCCCCAAACGACAGGGAGGAGGGTAGGAGAGATTCAGGAATGGGGGAACAAGACACAAGACCACTTCCTAAAACTGGGGAACAGACAGGGGTTTGGTCTGAAGCTAACAAATCCCGTGACTCATTTACTGGAAATGAGTACGAAGGGGCACAGTTTACTTGACTAATGGATTAATTTATTGATCTAGATTAAATGTCTAAAAGAAGAAGATAAAGAAATCAGTCCTCTAATATTTTGTTAACCATCCAGTCCCCTTCCATTAATCCTTTTCTTTTTTTTTTTAAAGATTTTATTTATTTATTTGACAGAGAGAGTCACAGCGAGAGAGGGAACACAAGCAGGGGGAGTGGCAGAGGGAGAAGCAGGCTCCCCGCCGAGCAGGGAGCCCGACGTGGGGCTCGATCCCAGGACCCTGGGATCATGACCTGAGCCGAAGGCAGACGCTTAAGACTGAGCCACCCAGGCGCCCCCCATTAATCCTTTTCTTAAAAAAAAAAAAAATCCTATCTGTTTAGCTTTACCCCTCCTAATTTCGACTGAATTTTCAAGAAGCCATTCCTCGGACTAAACTATGCCAAATAGTCTCCAGAAAAGGAAGACAGGTTTTTGGCTAAGTACCCGACTGAATGTCTCCATTAGATGGGAGCAAACTACTTTCATTTTCTCAGCCCTCTAAGCACAGATTTTTGTTTCTCCTGCAGGAAGTTCTGTATTATCAGGGCAGGGCTAGTTCCAGTGCAGATGACACAAAAGCTATTAATAGATTATGGCTATAATAAAGCTGAAGTAGAAAACAGAAGTGATCCAAAGAGGGAGGTACAAAATGGAAGGGGGAGAAAAAGGCAAAATAGTCTGCCTCCCAAGATAGATGACAACTATGTTGGGACATATTTCAAAAGCAATAATGTAACATTTCGATGGTGCTCTTAACTACCTGTATTTGGGAATTTTTTTTTTTTTTTTTTTTTGCCTGTCTTATCCTGCCAATCGGGGGAAGAAGAAAGAATGTATTAAATTAAATGAAATTTTTTAAAACTCTGCCTTTGCTCAGAACCAGCTCCCCCAAAATCACTGTTTGCCGTGAATAAAACCCAGACTTCGGTGACTTTGCTGTGGGTGGAAGAGGGAGTAGCTGATTTCTTTGAAGTCTTCTGTCAACCAGTTGGCTCGAGTCAAGAAACAAAACTCCAGGTACTTTGCTTTTTGATTGTCCTTGTCTGAGTTCTTTTTGATTAAGGCTAATAATCTAAGTAAATTAAAGTCCTTTATTTGTTTAAACTACAGAAAATGAAAACAAAAGTTCACTTGCACTTCTGTGTTTCAAGGATAGAAATTAGCAATCGGCTTAGGTCAAGCCGTAAATATAAGAACCAATTTGCCAAATTGCCAAGTTGATTTTCATCTTTGCATGTATCTTTTGTCCCTAATCCTTAGTCACCCTGGGTCATACTGAGGACTGGAAGGGGTTCATTTTTCCTATTGCCATTAGATCGATCAAAGGGATAGACACTGTCATATAAAATATAACTTAACAAATATGAACTGATTGCCAGCTATGTGGAAGGTTCTGTGTGTGATACAAATGTTAGAATCAATACTTGCCTTTAAAATTGTTTTCATGTAGTTATGGATATTGCATCCGCCTAGAGATAACTAAGGTGAAACGCAGGTGCCATAGAGAGATCCATGCTACTAAGAGAATTTAAAGAAGGGACTATTTCTAGTTAGTAAGGAGGACAATTTTGCTTGGGAAAATGAAGGTTGAGAGAGGAGATTATTAAAGCTTTAGAATCGCAAATAGCAGATAGAGTGACTGCTGAGTTATTCACCGGGTCAAACCAAAGGGAAGGAGGGAGATGAACCAGTAGCTCCAAGGGTAACAAAACCACAAGAAAATAAATATATTACAGCCAGACATGGAAGGGAAAGGTCAAGTTTGTGAGGGATGTCACAAAATGCAGTGTACAGACTAATTCTATGCACATGAATAATTGATGCTTTTTAAATAATGCAGTTCATGAGATTGAAAAGAAGAAAGGATTTCTGGGAGTAGGAATCTTTTCATACGAGTGTTAAGATAATTTGCTTTGATTTCTTTCTCCTTTTGATATTCTCTCATACAAACGTATCTCTTTTTGATTTATACTGAAGAGCTCATCTTTTTCTTTTTCTCTTCTAAGAATCCTTTTTGGAAATAACTATTTTGCAGGTAGCGGATTTTCTTCTCTGCACCTATAGTAAACCCCCCCCTTAAGAAAACAATGGTTATGCAGCCACTTACTGTAACAGTCTTGCTAGCAGAAGTCTTTCCTTAGAACCATTCTTTTATAGAACAGTGAAAGAGGTGGAATTGCAAATAAGTGCTGACGGCTTTCATCTCTTTAGGCAGGAGTGTTTCAGATACCTGTTTTGAAAAAGAATGTTATGCTGGCTCATATTTTTATATTGTACTGTGGTACTTGCCACTGGTCTAACCACTGACCCACCAAATTAACAATTTGTTCTACTCAAGGATAGGTTAATGTTAAATGTTTGTGAGAACACAAAGTTGCTGTGCCTTGGGTGGATGTGATTTAAAAGCTGAGAATGCAGACAAAGGGGGTAGTGTCCTTAATATACAAAGAACAACTACAAATAGAAAAGAATGAAGACCAATAGCCCAAAACAAATATTTCATAGAAAATAAACACAAGGGACACCTGGGTGGCTCAGATACTTAAGTGTCTGCCTTTGGCTCAGGTCACACCCCCAGGATCCTGGGATCGAGTCCCGCATCAGGCTCCTTCTTCAGCAGGGAGTCTACTTCTCCCTCTCCTTGCCACTCCCCCTGCTTATACTCTCTCTCTCTCTGGCAAGTAAATAAATAAAATCTTTAAAAATAAATAAATAAAAATATACACAAAAGACACTTAAACATATGAAAAGATGATCAAGTTCACTCACAGTAAAAGAAATGCAAAATGAATACAATGAGGTGCAATTTCCATTAATAAGACTGGAAAAACTCAAAGAGTTTACAAATATATTGGATTGGAAGGAGTGTAGGAGAAGAGATGTTGTCACACACTGAGGGCAGCAGGATAATTTGGAAAATGTCTATAGAAGACAATTTGTTGGGGGACCTGGATGACTCAGTGGATTAAGTGTCTGCCTTTGGCTCAAGTCATGATCCCGGGTTCCTGGGATTGAGCCCCACTTCGGGCTCCCTGCTCAGTGGGGAGCCTGCCTCTCCCTCTCCCTCTGCCTCTCCCCCCACCAGTCATGCTCTCTTTCTCTCTCTCAAATAAACAAATAAAATCTTTAAAAAATGAAAAATTTAAAAGAAGACAATTTGTCAGCCACTTTCAAAATTTTGAAAAATATTCAACTTTTGGACCCACCATTCAGCTGCTGGAAATATGTGTATCCATATATGCATGTACATTCACACATATGAATACACACACACAGGTTTTGTGTATAAGTACGTATCTGTATACATGCATACACACATCCATGTATTAAGTGAGTGTCTGTCCATATATGTTTGTTCCCATAATTTAAAATTTTGTTCGCTGTAGCACTGTTTGCAATAGCAAAAAATCAGAGGCAACAGGGGCGCCTGGGTGGCTCGGTCATTAAGCGTCTGCCTTCGGCTCAGGTCACGATCCCAGGGTCCTGGGATCGAGCCCCGCATCGGGCTCCCTGCTCTGCGGGAAGCCTGCTTCTCCCTCTCCCACTCCCCCTGCTTGTGTTCCCTCTCTCGCTGTGTCTCTCTCTGTCAAATAAATAAACAAAAATCTTAAAAAAAAAAAAGTAGGTCCTTTCAGTGAATTTCTACACAGCCCTTAGGAAGAATAAATCAGCTTTTTCTGTGCTGATATAAGAAGAGCACCAAAATATACTGATAACCAAGTAAAACATAAGCAGCATGATGTGTAAGCCACATTATCACTTAAGTTCCGCTTAGCTGTATCTTACGTTTTCACATCCATAAAATACAGATCGGAAGGAAAAAAAGAAAAATCCCTGACAACAACGGCTCCTTCCGTGGAAGAGAACTGGGTAGATAGAAAGTAGGGAAAGAAGGAAACTTATTTTTCACTGTTATCCTCTCGCATCTTTTAAATGTTTTACTCTGTGTATTCCCCACTCAACTCTGAAAAACAGCCTAAAAAAAACACAAAACAGATGAAGATACTCTGACGCCTGTCTTATGTTCTGCGTCTCCAGGAGCCGATTTCTGTTTCCTCTCACGTTGTGACCATCTCCAGCCTCCTTCCCGCCACTGCCTACAACTGCAGCGTCACCAGCTTCAGCCACGACAGCCCCAGCGTCCCCGCGTTCATAGCCGTCTCAACAATGGGTAATTACTTGGAATTCGTGGAATCCGCTGTCTTTGGAGGTTTTAGCACTCTCGATTCTCCTTCTGTTTTCCTTTCAAATATAGGTACTCTATCCTTTTAATAGAACCATGTTCCACGGAAACATTCCAGGCTCTGGGGGCAGGGGGCCCTTCACTGCGCTTACTAGCTGTGTGATTGAGGGAAAGACATTTACCATCTCTGAACCTCTGTTTTCTCATCTGCAAAACTGGAATTGTAATATATGTCCCCTGTTGAGCTGTAATGAGGCATGGAAATGAAGTGCCTAAAGCCCTAACACACGCCATGTGAGTCATAGTGGCTCCTGTCCACGCCACCGGCCTCATCCTCCTCCCCAGCGGTGGCCACAGTACCCTGATCCACTCGGGCTCATCTGTTGTCGCCTTGGCCCTTAGCCGTCCCTGGTCAAGCAATGACAACACTAAATTCCTGGGTCAAAGCGGGGAAGTTCCCAATGAAGCCAAACTCTAAGGGGGGAAATTAGAAATTAATGGAAGCTCTAGAATAATGGTGCTTCCTTTTTTTTTTTTTTTTCCTTCTGAGTTATATGTGTTACTGCCCTGTTTGTTGGAGGCTGATCATGCGGTCTGAGACCCGCCATGAAGCCACCTGTAATACAGCTGCTCACAGTGTCACATGATCCCTTTACTGGGGGCATTTTCATTTCTGTTGCATTCATCGTATATGCAGCTGCTCTATTCGGTGTTGACTAGAGTGGCCTTTTGTTTGTTTTCTGTTTTAAATTTTTATTTTTCCGGAAGAGGGCACCAAAGATGGACCCGCAAAGTATATTAATGGTCTCTCAGCTCTATGGCCTGTACACCATTCCAAGCAGCCTTTCCTGTTCACTATTCCTTGTCATAGCTACGGCAACCTGGTGAAAACAGGTATAGCATTCAACTTATTTACAAGTGAGGAAAATGAAGCCCAGAGAGACAGATAAAATAGCTTCTCCGAATGGCAGTTAGTAGTCAAATGAACCTGAAGGTCTCCTGACCCTAAGTCTAATGTTCTTTCTGTTCAGTCAGTCTGCCCATGAGTAGGAGTCATGCTGGCCCCAGTGGGAAGTGGCAAACGCACGGCGTCTTAGGGATGGAACGCGCCGGCCAGTTCTGTGATTTTATGATCAAAGCAGAGGATGGTGTGTCATTCTCCCCTGCTCTAGTCGGTCTCTGGTTAAGAGTTTCATAAAAACATTTGATATATGTATTCCCACTTTTAGTGTGCATGTGCCAGAGCAGTCCCCATATAAAGTATAGGGAAGGGACACAGCCGCTGTTCTTAAAGGGCCCACGACTTATTAATAGGTTTAATCTCTTGAGTTGTGCAGATGGAAAACCACTCGACATATGGTTACAGATCATCAGAACGCCTGCTTCTAGAGACGTGTTAAGTGCTGCAGCAGATGGTAGCTTGCTAATGCCTTTTTCATATACGATATTAGTTGTGAGCGAAATACACAGTTGTGGTTTCTGACTTTAAAGTCATGGGCGTAAAATGAAAACCTGCCACTCTCTCTCTAAACTTCTGAAAACCTTAAACAGTAATAAGATGACCTCTAGATTTTTTTAATTTTCAAAGGAATTTAAACCATGGTCCAGGCTTTGATTTATTCAGTGTATAGTTCTCCTGGCTAAGAGCATTCTGAATGTAAGCCCTCGTGATGGACACAACTCTGCTAGGTACCTGAACGCCATTTATCAATCTGCTTTACTAGGTTGTATTTGACCAGCAGGAGGTCATTGTCGGCTAGGAGAAACATTATTGTTGCTGTTATTGTCATCATTATACGTTCAGTGCTGTTAAAAATCAATGGAAAATGATGAGTGGTTCTGTTAGTTTTGTGTAATGGAAGTTATAATGAAAATGCATGGCTTTTCTCTTCAGTTACAGAGATGAACCCCAATGTGGTAGTCATCTCGGTACTGGCCATCCTCAGTACACTGTTAATTGGACTGCTGCTCGTGACCCTTATCATTCTGAGGAAAAAGCACCTCCAGATGGCAAGGTAAGTTCAGTTTGGTTGACCTTTTACCCAAGGGCTTTAAAATATTTTAATTTATCCTATAGGTCTGCTTTTGCAGATCGAAATGGTATAGCAGGGCTTTTAAAGTATTTTAACTTATACTTTAATTTGTAAATGTAATTTATAATTATTTTAATAATATTAAAATGTTTTAATTTAATATCTAAATTGTATAGCCGTAAGTTTGATTTCGGTTTTCAGACACTTAGAAAACTACTGTTTTCTAAGTAGACTTCTAAATGTTATTTTAGAAAACATGACCATTGAAATGACAAAGCAAAGGATGGTTTACACAAATCCAGACCTCTTACTATCAGTCTTGTCATTTTAAGAAACCCACACAAAGGAATCCATTAATGACATTTGGATACTTTCAAACATACTTTGTAGTAAAATAAAGATTTCTGGCTACTCAGTATGATTAATGAAAGGACTGAATGTATGGAGAGACCACAAGAAAGAAAAAAAGTCCCTCTCCTCATCAGTTCTGCCAAAGCTGTTTTATCAGAAAACATTTGAAGAGTTTATGATTAGGTCCATTTGAAGTCTCATATTAGTTTTGTTTCTACTACTCAGAGTTCAGGCAGTTTTCATTTTTCTTGCAGCTAGAAAAGACTTTTGATTTATGATTTTGGTGATTCCCTATTCCTTTGACCACTGATGCATTTTTTATCAAAGCACATTCTCAAGTACTTTCAGTGGTCCCCTATATTATCAGAACAATCCATCAATTCTCTTTAAAATTGTTGCCTCGTTGAATACTGCTGGGTTTGGGAAATTTGGCTCAAATTATATTTACCCAACGTTAGCCTGCTGAATTGTCAATCAACATCCTTCTTCTTTCTCAGAGTTCTCTCAGTTGCCTAGTCATAAATAAATTTATCCATCCAATAGTGATCTAATCAGTGTCTTATCTGGCACAATTAAATAAAAATCAGATACCCAAGCTGTCCACTAGGAAATTAGAACGTAGCTGGAGATATGCACATAAAGAAATATATTTAAAGGTATAAACTGACCTGCCCCGGAAAGGAGATAAAAATGAGAATCCATGAATGTAGAGAAAAGAGATTAGTTCTGAATATAAAAATCAAGCTTTATGACTGTTGGCATTTAAACAAATCTTAGAAGGATAGGGAGGAAGGTGGCACCACATTGTGGCTAGCATAGAGATCTCTGAAATTACACTCCTTGGGATCAAATCCTAACTTGTAATCTATGTAACTGTGCAGTTTACTGAAACTTCATTCAGTAGTTTGAATAAATATTAGTGGATATTTTGATAAATATTAATAGACACCTGCTATGTGTCAGACTCTTCCAGATGCTTGAGATATGATAGTATATAAAATAGACAAGAATTTCTGCCTTCATGGAGCTCGTATTCTAGCGGAGGAGATAGACAATAAAAACCGTGTTGTATGTGAGCAGACAGTAAGAGAAAAACAATAGAGCAGAGTAAGGGAAATTAGCAGTACAGGTGTGCGGATTATACGGACAGGAGCTCTGGGAGGTGGATAGATCTCACTGAAAGGATAATACTTGAGAAAAGATGTGAAGGATATGATGGAGTTAGCCATTTGTTTTCTGGCAGAAGAGTATGCCCAGTAGAGGGAAGAGCCAGTGCAAAGGCCCTGAGGCAGGAACATGTTCAAACAGTAGCAGGAAGTTTAGTGCAGCTAACACAGAGGAAATGAAGGGAGGAGCAGCAGGAGATGATGTCAGATCACATAGAGCTTTGTAAGCCATTGTAAAGACTTCTTGCTTTTATTCTGAGTCAAGCCATTGCAGGACTTGGGGCAAAAGAGCCGACTTACACTAGAAAACAGTCTGTATTGAGGCAAAGCAGGCATATTAATGCGGGCAGCCATTACAGTAACCCAGGCTAGAGATGGTAGTGGTTTAGTCCAAGGTCACAGCAATAAAGGTGGGGAGAAATGATCAGATTCTGGATATATTTTGAAAATAGAGGCATTTGCTGAGGGGATTTGCTAACAGATCGCACTTGAAATGGAAATGAATAAGGGTCACAGATGACTCCAAGGGTTTTGGTCCTAGCAACTGAAAGGATGGAGTTGCCATCAACAGAAATAGGATTCCAGATGAAGATTTCAGAGTTGGGGGAGCGTCAAGACTTCAGTCTTGGAAATGTTATGTTTGAGGTGACTGCAAGCGCAGGTGTGGAGTAGGCAATTGAATATAAAAGTCTGATGTTCAGGAGCGAAGTCTGGACTGAAGATAGAAGTTTGGGAGTTGTTAGCATATACGTGGTATTAAAGCAATAGACTGGATGAAATTCTCCTTTACCGGAGGGAGTGTGAGTAAATGAGAGAAGAGGGCCCTGCACTAAGCACCAGAACAATCTAATATTAAGATTTTCAGGGAGGAAAAAAAAGATAAGAGCAAAGGAAACTGGCCAGAGGCATCCAGTGGAGTCCAAGAAAAACTAAGAAAGTGTGTAGCCTGGAAGCAAGGGAAAGAATGTATATCGAGAAGAGATGAGACTAGCCCCTACATTAGTGGATGGTTAGGAGCAATATGCCATAATTGGGAAGCATGCAATAAATGTTAGCTCATAATAGTAATAGTGGAGGGGGTGGTAGCAGGTGTGGTAATGGGTACAATTCCAGGAGCGTTCTCTGTGGTGCATACAGCAAGATGCTTAGGAGAAGTGGTTCTACTTCAGCCAGCTGACCATTAGAGCAGAGATTCTTCACATTTTCTGTGCCATGATCCTTTCTGGCAATCTGATTAAGCCTGTGGATCTCTTCCAAGAATAATGCTTTCTTTTTAAGTGCAAAAAATAAAATACATAAGATTAAAAAGAAATGAATTATATGAAAACATGGTAATCAGAGTATTTAAAAAACAAATGCATTACATCCTCCTTTATTAATATATTTAGATAATATTTAGTAGGGTGTCTAATAACTCTCATAATTTCATCAGAGTGATGAATATGAACAATACTTCCATATCTGCAGCAGGTTCATTATAGAAAAACATCTGCAGTTTCTGTGGTTAGCAATCTTGCCAGTACTGATGATATTATTTTGGCTTGTTGCCTACTTTAATAATTTTAAAAATTGCTAAATTTCAGTTAGAGGTTGTGAAAACAAGAGTACTTTCCCCCCACTGTGTTCACGGAGCTCTAAATTCTATCCTTGAGCCCCAGGTAAGAACCCTTGAATTACAGGATAAAATAAATCCTATATATGGGAAATTGACAGAGGAAAATTAATTGATGATGTGTAATTTATAACACAGCGTGACATAACAATGTATTAGTGCATTTTTGAAAGAAGAAAACTGTTCTTAGAACACAGTAATAAGAAGAGGGAGATCACCAAAGTTATTAGCAGATGTGCCAATTAATGTCAAAATCTCTGCTTCAATTCTGAGTAAGTCCATCAATTTCATCTAGGGGGGAAATGAGATGCATGAACCCCCATGAGCTGTGTTGTTTATCCATGACATTAGGTAAAGGTGGAGAAGGCATGGGAATATGTTTACCTTTGTCTTCCACTTCTGGAAAAAAAAAACTTCAACAATATTTTCCACTGACAGATTAATAGGCAACCTTTTGGATAAGAGGCACTGCTAAGCCAATCTGTTTCCATATGTCTCACTCTTTTTACTCTTATCTCAAGTGATAAATCACATGGGCATCCCGACATGAGGGGAAAACTTTGGAGGAAGAAAATAATCCAAATTGATCCACCATCATTTTAGAGAGGAAATCAAAATGCTTTAAAAACAACCCCACAAAGAATAGGTGCTAAAAACAGAAAACCCTCAGGCTAGGAGGCTTTGTGAAAAATACTATACCCCAAATAGTTCAAAGATTTATGTTAGGATCACGAGTGCCCTTTGGAAAGGATTGTAAGCCAAATCCTCTTGGCTTCAAATAACTTGATTAGATCATGTGCAACCTTATGAAAAACTTTTTTATTTTTCTATTTTGTATTGCATGTGAAAGAGGAACACATGGAACTTATATTAGCTTTTTTTTTTTAATTTAATGCTGTGATGATAAGCCAGTAAAGGCTTTCTTTTATATCAAGGAAAAAGAGTGCTCCATCAAGCAGTAACCTTGATTTTGTGGTTCCTTTCAAACAGGGAATGCGGAGCAGGAACTTTTGTCAATTTTGCTTCTTTGGAGAGGGATGGAAAGCTTCCATACAACTGGTGAGCATTACTTTGCAACAAGGCTCTAGAGAGCTTATCTATGCTGTGTGTGTGCTCCAAACTTTATTTTACTCTTTTTGGGGGATACATGGTTTTGTCTGATTGTCCTTTCACAATTTTGGTGAGAGTGGACTTTCCAAGGTTAGATTTTCTTCCCTGAATGTATTAGTTTATATAGGTTTACTGCAGTTACGAAGTAGAGAAAATGTCTTAGTCGGCTGAGTTGTTACTATATTAAACGAAGGACTAACACAGGCATGGATGTAGCCCCAAACCGTGCTGAAGAAGGGCTTCAGTGCAGGAGTCACACTGAACGCGTAAGTGGTGGCGAAGGCACAGGACAGACCCCAGCGAAGCAACAGGAGAGAGAGAAGCATCTCTATTTCAAACTGACATTTCAGTGCCTGAGAATATGAGCCCCACTTCTGGTCAGAATCGAGTAGACGTATTCAGCCCAGGCCTCTCAGCTCTTACACTTATGGGTAAATAAATATCAAAGGCAGTGAGGTCCCATGGGAAAACCTGGCCTTATTTTTTTCCCCATGCTTGAATCTTAAGGACCTAGAGGGAGGAGGTATTTGGAGAATTGAGAAAGCATTGTCAGGAGATTAAATTGTTTGACATTATACCTTAACACTGATACATGAGAATTAACAATGCTATCAGCTACAATGGAGACCCAACAAAATTGCTAATGAAGTAACCATTTAATACAAAGCTGGTACTGCTTACATGATCAGGTTTGTTTCTTTTGCAAGCCACAATGCAAAGCACATTTATTTAAATGTATACATTTCATGTTAATCCTTGGTAAATGATCTTTTTTTCTTCTTCTTGTTTTCCTAATCCCCCAAAATGGTGATCTTCAAGAAATAGATAGGTGAGACTAGAAACTTTACAGAATCAATGAGGGAGGGAGGGCTTTAATTGGAATATAACTTCGGCTTCTCTGAGTGGGCATCTAGCAGTGGGAAGTCTAGTTGAAATAGGATTCTTTTCAATAAGACAGTATGTTGTACTATTTTTAAATTTTAGCTTGAATGGAATTTTGCTATTAAACTACAATTAATCCAACTGTGAAGAAAGAAAACCCATAACCCCTCGACGGTGGAAAGTTAGTAAACATTTCTAGGTTTGTTCAGATATATTAACACTCTTGTTGCCAAGATTAAGAGACTAATTCACTGATCTTTGTTTCTTGTCTGGCTCACCCTTTAAAAAGGCCCAGTCACAAAACAGTGAAGAATAGCCCATCTAGGAATTGATCCAATTATACCTGGGACTCAGGGCAGCTATGTATTGACTAACTGCACAATCAGTCACAACTAATAGAATATGGGACGTCAGTTATGCGAGAGCTAAGGCAAAAGAGAATTCACTTCAGGAATTTTCTAGAAAAATCTAGAAAATTCTCCTCCTGCTCTTGGCAAAGATGGTTTTGCCAGTACCGGCATGTACTGGCTGACAGAACAGATATATCCCTGGGAAACTGTAGTAATTAAAGTGACAAGGTGACAGCATTTCCCCTCCTAGTTCTCAGTGTAGCTACAGACACAGCCATAGGACATGTTAAAATCTTCGTTAATGAACGTTCTATTTTGCACGTGGTTTAAATACCTGAAATTGCATTCACACCACGTTTTTTAAATCAGCAGACTGAATTAGAAGTAAAGTACAACACAATAATTTTGCTCCCACTCAGGTCAGTATTAATCAGATTATGGACCAGGCAGTTTCATGAGCTACTTCTCTTGAATCATTGATACCTGAGCGTCCTTCCATAGCTCTGTTTTAAGGGTTATTTTTCAGCGATGGTGTATGAACTTAAACTAGAAGTAATATAGAAAGTCACACCTAGGAGTGCAGCTTTGTAAGAATGCATCCCAGAAGCTTGGGGTCTCTACCAGAATTGGTAAAGGCAGAAATTGACTGTTGGTTGATACTTCCTCACACAAGCCGCTGTTGGCGATCGAATGATGTTATAATGGTTCCTTAAAATAGGTTCAAGCGTGGCCAAGGTAATAATATCCAAGAATAAGAGACAACTAATGAGGCATTTAAGAGCCTCATTTAACTGAATGTAAAATGTAATCACTTAATAGCAGACTAATCGACACAAAATAAGTTGAAAGGAATATACCTGATTACAATATGTATGTGTGCGAATAAAACTGGTGTTGGCAATATGATAGCACGTAAGCTTTCGCGTTTCAATTTCACAGAATGGAATAATATGTAATTGTAATTAAGATGCTTGTCATTTTAATTGATCCCAGTAGGTAATTTACTGATATCTGTTCACAGTTTATGTTACTAACTCTTGCCACTTTTTCATCTTTACATCTGTTATATCTATTAATGCTCACAGGCGTAGGAGTATATTTGCTTTCTTAACCCTGCTACCCTCATGTCTTTGGACTGATTATCTTTTGGCATTTTATATTAATCCTTGGTAAGTGATTTTTTTTTTTTTTTTACTGTTTACCTAACAAAAAGTCTATAAGGTTAGCTCTCCAGAAGTAAAACCAAAAAGAAAAATTCTCTTTAATTATCTGATGTGTTTGGGCAACCTCTAAAATTATTGATCAGGTATTGAAATGGATTAAAATAGTTCATGGTACCAAGATGCTAACTAAGTATAATGTTTTTCCAATTAAAATTTTCTTCTTGGGATGTTCTTGGCAAGCTTTTCTTCCATGAATTACTAGTCATTTGTTTCTTCATTCAGTCAATGCATTGGCTTCTCATCTTTGTAAATGATGCTTCCCATTTTCCTTACTATCTCCATCCATTAGAGAGCTCCATATTTCCAAGAAGGAAGAAATGCTTTCAGGTAGAGAAGCCCAGAACACTGTACTCTGTGTTTGAGGTGTTAGTGTTTTCACAGTAGTGCTAACTCAATGAATATTGAACAACTAAGTGCAAGCCTCTTTGTATAATTATCTTATTTAATTGTCCCCACAACTCTGCAGAGCCCCATCCTAGAGACATGGAAATAGAGGCTTAAGGAGATTATATTAACATCATACTACTATATAGAAAATCCAGGTTCCAACTCCAGGTGTCTCCAAAATCTATTCTTTCCTCTGTAAAAAGCAGCTTCCTTTAAATTCTCCTTTTCTTAACTTTTAAATCATTTTAATAATCAAATCTCAGAGAGTATCCTTTTCAGCTTGTATAAAATCTAATAACAATAATTTTGAAATCTGAGACTAACATATCTAGAAGGACTATTTCCTTTCCTGAGCAGCAGGAAAAAAGGTAGTGGTTTCCTGACCAAAAACAAAACATCATTGTCCTGAAAAATCCAAGGTGTTTAGGTACTAAATTATGTACAGACAGATTCAGATATATGGACAACTTCAGAACTCAGAAAAAACAATAAAGATAGTTCATGAACTGGAAAAATGGCGCTTGAGTGGGGAGAGTGAGGGGAAGAAGAGTGAAAGACGAAAAGCAATCTGTAGAGTTATTTATTCAAAAAGACAGTTGATCAAATGTTCTTCAGCTCCTCTAAGGACAGAATAAATACAGTTGGCAAGGTTAGGACTTCAAGTTGCAATGGAAGAAATACCAGAAAGGACTTTCTCACAGTAGAGATTAATACCAGCATTAATACCAGTAGAGATTAATACCAGCAATGGGGTTGTTTTGGGGTTTTTTGTTTGTTTGTTTGTTTGTTTTAAAGAAAGACTAGAGGAAAACTGTTGAAACATGGTAGACACTGAGGTGTTAAGTAATGAACCCACAAGAATGTCTCGGATGATAAGGACCCATTCGCTGTTATTCCAAGTTGGTTTTAATAACAGTTTTGAGTATAGGGCTTCACCATAGCCAACACAATATTTTAAGTATTTAACATCAGATAGTATTCAGGTATGAGTAGTGCATATATATTCCATTTTGACCTTCAAAATATGCATCACTTTTCACTCAACATCTACTAATCATTCTCAAGTATTCTACCTATCATCAGAATACTTGTACCCAATACCCTTAAAGTACCCGCCATAGATCTCAATTCAAACAGAAGAAAGAAAGATACATATAGTATCGTATTAATTTTTCTGCTTAATTCTCTGACTTTCCCACAGTTTGGTTTCTAAGCTTATATCAGGGCTGTGCTTTTTTTGCATGTATTTCTTACTGGGTCCCCCTGATGAACACATCTTCAAATTCCAACAACTCCTTCAAGGTCTGCTATTTATAGTATTGATCAAATAGCATGAGACCCAAGTCAGGGGGGGAAAAAACCCTTCAGTAGTTGTGTTTGTTTGTTTTTTGTTTGGGGGTTTTGTTTGTTTGTTTGTTTTTAAAAAACGCTTCAGTCTTTTTTAGAAGAATTGTCTTGAGATGTAAATGGTTATCTCCAGCTGAGAAGAGAAGGCAAAACATAGAGCCCCAAGCTTTCTGTCACTTTTGGTAAACCATACACTTATCAACCAATGAGAATAGACTGAACATAAACTCTGTTTTCCGCCCTAGGCTTGTGCTAGGTCAGATATAACAGAAGTAAAATACATGATCCTTGCTTTTTTTCAGGTACAACTAGCTTAGCACTCACAAAGCCACCCGAGGTCCCTACTGTTTGCTACTTTTCTCTTCATCTAGTAACTCGTGGATGTTTTCCCCTGCTTTCATTTGCAGATAGCCATTTTTAATTCTCCTCCAGATGTGTTTGTCTTCATAGTTCACCTAGTCTGTTAACAACCACTAGAAATAACAGAGCCGCCCACCCTACCTCCTTCCTCACACACGGCCTGGTTTCTTCTCTGAATTGCCAAGTTCAGGGGAATAGATGTTCCCGTTAATTTTGTAAAATCTTCCTGGTGAGTGGTTCGTGTGGAAACCAGGAGACTCTTTCTCTCTTACAGTGTTGCTCGAATCTTCTCCCAGGATGATAGCAAAACCAGAGCCGATCACCAGTGCCCAGGTGGCTTAGTCTCAAGATGGTATTCTGCCAGGATTTCTGGTTACCATCATCTCAGATCAGGTTTCCTAATCAGAGAAAACCATTTCATTCGGACCAGCTCTATCTGGATTCATTGTTACTACTCTTTTTATTAACACCGTACTCACCTCATGCTCTGCTCAAGTATTCATCTGCCTGCTCGAAATCTGCAAGAGTCGTCATTTTAAGCGTGAAGCAACATTTAGTTTAAACTGCTCAGCTTTCCTCCTGGTTATTGCATATTTTATTCAGAGGATGATATAACTCTAAACGCCTTTTTAAGATTTGGGGATGATCTCCAGCTAGCTCATGAAAGAGTAAGTGGCGCTTAGGAAATTGGGGACATTTAGAGTATTGCGGGTTGTTTCAGGGGGGTTTTGTTTGTTTTTAGTCTTTGTAAATCCCATGCTTCTGCCATTGCCTCTTTTCATATTCCTTTTCACAATGAATTCCAGTCTGGCTGGCTTCCCAAGATCTCATAACCATGAAGAACTTATGCATCTTAACTTCTTGAAGTCATTAGGATTTTGAACCTTACCTAACTGATATAAGTAAAAGAGAAAATTGGAAGATGTGCATGATCATGTATGCATATATACTGTTTGTCTCATGAGTGTTATCAATTACTCAAAAAATCTTTTGCAATGACAAGATGACACCCTACACGTCACCTCAAATGTTCATGGTAACAGGAGCACACGCTAGCTCTTTCCATAATGCACTGACAACCAAAGGGCTGGCGGAACCGCCACTTACATGTTTAAAAGTGAAATGTCCCCTGATTTTCGTCTTAGAATTAGTACAGCAATTGAAAACGTAGGAAAATTCCATCCGTGTGGCTGTGGAGTCTCATAATTCAGTCCTGTCTTTGTCCCACAGCCTACAGATGTGAGAACTCCTTGGAATCAATTCTGCAAAATCTAAGCAGAACATAAAGGTTGTATACAAATCATGAAGACATACACTTAAACATACACTTTTGGCAATAAGTCATTGAAAACATGTGGTGGAATTTTACATTCTATGTAAAGTCCATTCAATCAATGAATGAGAATGAAAGAAAAAAAGTGCCTGTCTTCCAGTAATCAGGTTTCTACACAGCTGTTGAATAGTAGCAGCTTAATATTTCAGCACTGAATTTATTCAGTGTTACTCTCCCACATACATTTGTTTCTTCCCAGTTTCCCTTAAAGTCTGTTTGGATAGGAAAGATTTGGTTTGGTGTTTTTTGTTTTTTGTTTTTTTTTCCCACTCCCAATCACAAAATATGTTGGCAGCCTCCTGACTTCACCAAACTGTTATCTCAGCGAACATTCCTCTGTCATAAAGCACCATCATCAGCTCCCATGATATAAAGTGAATGTGGAATTCCTAAAGTTAACTACATTACCCCCACAAGAGCTGAGTAAAAATTATTCAAAAGATCTTCTTTTAGGTTCCCAAATGCCTAGATGATACAGCCCTGTCCAACATTACAGTGGTGTTTTGAGGGGGTGAGGGAGAAGCAAAGTAAAAACCGGAATGTCTATTCCCTCTAAATCTCAAACATGGAGGACAGAGGATGAGGGAGAACAAATAAGAAGGGAGCTATTGAGTGGACTGTCATCACTCAGAAGTAGGAAGAAGTAAAACTGAAGTAAAAACTGAAACCAGGAAATAAAAACCGAAACACCTCTTGCCTTAATGGATATTTCCCTGTACTCCCTGTCCTCGTAACTTCCTGTCCATCCACCAGTTCCACTTCCTGAGTCTAGTATCAAACTCCTCATTGAATCATTAAGTAAAATTGTAGGGGCAACATGGCAAACGTGTTTTGTTTCAACCCAATTCACTAAGCATTTATTGAGCACCACCATGTGTCCTATTAACTATGCTCAGCTCTGGGGGGGTGGGCGGGGGCTGGGAAGGACTGTGTAGCAAGGAGCACAGAAGCAACTGATGGATACCAGGAGAAACATTCCATGAACAAAGTGCTACGAGAGCACAGAGGAAGCAGTGCTTCATTCTGCTACAGCCTTTCTAGAAATGAAGGTACCCAGATATTCACAATTCTAATTTTTATTTTTTTAAAGATTTTATTTATTTATTTAGAGAGAACAAGCGCAAGCGGGGGTTGGGGGGAGAGACTCTCAAGCAGACTGAGCTGAGCACGGAGCCCAAATGGGGCTTGATCCTACGACTCTGAGATCACGACCTGAGCCGAAAGCAAGAGTTGAGTGCCTTAAGCGACTGAGCCACCCAGTCGCCTCCACAATTTTTAATATAAATAAATATTCTGGCACATGAGAGCACTCAGATCACACTGGTTATTTACTACAGATGGTTTATTTTCTGAAAGTTTGTGTGCTTCCATCAATATTTAAAGACTTTGGGAAACTATTTGTAAAAATTGTCACTCACAATCGTATCAATATTTATCATTTATATAAAACAATAAAAATACAGTAATGAAGTGTTTCAGCAGAGACCATATTCTCATTCACTAACTTAGGTCAGTTACCTTATTTGTTGGTTGAAAACAATTACCCTAAATACCCCCTAAAAATGTAATTAACTGTAACATATATTAGCATTACATGTGTTTGAGCTTACAGAATAGTAATGAATTAAGAACTAGTAATAGGTACAATTCTTCAGATAGCTTAAAAAACTAGTTCAAAATTGAATAAGAACAATGCCATAATAGAATTCTATAAGACACACGCCAGGGCACCTGGGTGGCGCCGTCAGTTAAGCATCCAACTCTTCGTTTCAACTCAGGTCATGATCTTAGGATTATGAGATCGAGCCCCGCATTGGGCTCTGTGCTCAGCACAGAGTCTGCTTGAGATTTTCTCTGCCTCTCCCTCTGCCCCTCCTGCTTGCAATACTCTCTCTCTCTCAAATAAATAAATAAATCTTAAAAAAAAAAAAAAAAAGAGGGGCACCTGGGTGGCTCAGTTGGTTCAGTGTCTGCCTTCGGCTCGGGTCATGATCCCAGGGTCCTGGGATCAAGTCCGGCATCCGGGCTCCCTGCTCATTAGGGATCGTGCTTCTCCCGCTCCCTTTACTGTTTCCCATGCTTGTGCACTCTGGCTCTCTCTCTGTCAAATAAATAAATAAAATCTTAAAAAAAAAAAGATACATGCCAACACTCTTAGCACAAACTCACATTCCCAGGGAAGATGCTTTGAGCCTTCGAGTCTTTGACAACCAACATATCCACCCTCCCAGATACTTCGTTCTCCCCTTTTATTCCCCAAATCTTTCCTTCTTGCCTATAGATCCTAGAGTTTTCAGGCAACAGATATTTCTGTATATTTATAAAATACTTCAGCAGCTTAACCACTAGTAGCAAGAGATTATATTTCTAGAATTTAGTATTTGGCAAATCCAAAATGTAAAGTACAAGTATGTTCTTGTAATCTAATAGACTTTTTAAGAAGTGAATCTGAAATTATTACCATTATCTTCTCATTTAAGGAAAAGTAATTAAACAAACTAGAGGTATGTTTAATGAAAATTAAATAAAATTGAGGTGCCTGATGTAATTATTTAAAGCTCTTCAAGTTTCATCATTATGTCAATTGATTCTTCTGCCCAGATAAAGCTGTCTTTTTTTTTTTTTTTTTAATTCTCAGGAGTAAAAATGGTTTAAAGAAGAGGAAACTGACTAAGTAAGTTGTTTTTTATTGTGGAGATATAACTGACCTATAACATTGTGTAAGTTTAAGGTGTGCAATGTGTTGATTTAATACACTGATATAATGCAGTATGATTCCCACCATAACATTTAGGCAACAACTCTATCCTGTCACATAATTATTGTTTCTTTTTGTGGTGAAAATATTAAAGATTAGTCTTAGAAACTTTGAAGTATATAATACAGAAAGTTTTTCTTATATTTCTTTTTAAAATGTTTGATTTTAAAAAAGTTCTTCATAATGATCTTCACTTTGCCTATTAAAATGATTGCTTGTTGGGCGCCTGGGTGGCTCAGTTGGTTAAGCGACTGCCTTCGGCTCAGGTCATGATCCTGGAGTCCCGGGATCGAGTCCCGCATCAGGCTCCCTGCTCGGCAGGGAGTCTGCTTCTCCCTCTGATCCTCCCCCCTCTCATGTGCTCTCTCTCGTTCTCTCTCTCTCAAATAAATAAATAAATAAATAATCTTAAAAAACAAAAGATTGCTTGTTTTCAAATGGAAGGGATGCTTAAGAAAGAGGCAAATGTAGGGGCGCCTGGCTAGCTCAGTCGGAGGAGCATGAGACTCTTGATCTCAGGGTCATGAGCTCAAGCCCCACGTTGGGTGTAGAGATTACTTAAATAAATAAAACTTAGGGGCGCCTGGGTGGCTCAGTTGTTAAGCGTCTGCCTTCGGCTCAGGTCATGATCCCTGGGTCCTGGGATCAAGTCCCACATCGGGCTCCCTGCTCAGCAGGAAACCTGCTTCTCCCTCTCCCACTCCCCCAGCTTGTGTTCCCTCTCTCGCTCTCTGTCAAATAAATAAATAAAATATTTAAAAATAAATAAATAAATAAATAAAACTTAAAAAAGAGGGCAGGTGTATATTTCAACAGCTAAACTATTATGTGTGGGTGTGTTTACACATATGGGTGGCAGAGACCACTAAGAAACCAGCTTCCTCTTTCCTTCTCGTTTTCTTTCTAATTCTCCTTCCTTCTCTAAAAGCCAGTTCTTGAGGGGCTCCCCTGCCCACATTTCCATTTGCTTTCTCTTTACTCTTTCTCTTTACCTCCCAAAGCCGCCCCCTCCCACTCCGCACCGTGTCCCCATGGCTCCCATTTCCTATCTGTACCTATTCTCATTTCACCCCTCGTTTGCTCCACCTTCTCTTCTCCCTTTTCCCTCTAAACCTTTATCCTCTGGATCTTTACTCCCTCCCAGCTTGCTTTTGCTACTCCTTACTATCCTCCTCCTCTCCCTGATGTTCATTCTTCTGTTTCCTGGCCCTTGCTCTGTCTCTCTTTTCCTTTTGCTTTTTCTAACCCATAAATATTTTCTCAGATTGCCTTTCCTATTCGTGCTTCCTTTCTTCTGGTAATGGGATGAAAACTGGAATCATTCAATCCAACGTTAAGGTCAATGCCCTGCTCAGAGACAACAGCCAGAGAGGGCAGGTCTAACGGAGTTCCTTCTAGGATAGGAGCCCCACGTTTAGCCATTCTTTTGGAAGGATGGCAAGTTTGATGTGGGAATAGCTTTTATTTTTTTTTTAAAAGATTTTATTTATTTATTTGAGAGAGAGAAAGAGAGAGAAACAGCATGAGAGGGGATAGGGTCAGAGGGAGAAGCAGGCTCCCCACCGAGCTGGGAGCCTGATGCGGGACTCGATCCTAGGACTCCGGGATCATGACCTGAGCTGAAGGCAGTCGCTTAACCAACTGAGCCACCCAGGCGCCCAGGGAATAGCTTTTAACCAGAAATCATTCTCCCAGGTGCTCGTCATCATTCTACTGCTGAGTAGCCACGTAATCTTGGACTATTCAACGGACTCTTAGCCTTGGCTGTCTCACTTGAAGCATGGGGTTGATGTTGCCCGGGTCTCCTTCAGGGATCAACCGAGCAATATAACATATGCGAATATGTATGCACTGCAGTGTGTTTTATGGATACGAGTCATTAATGCTATTAAGTGAAACCATTAGAATTCAAGTGTACCTCTGGGAGGTATAATGCCCTTTAAATTCTACTAAAATCTTAACAGAATCTATGGGATTGGCTAATCAACAACTTTAAACAAGTAACTATTAATAATACTATGTATTTGCTAATAGGACATAAGGCCACAGGTAGATGATATAAGCTGAGTAATTTGTAGCAAGACTAAGGGAAAGGTCACTGTGTGGATCCTGCCAAAGTGGAAAGGCTTGGATTAGATGCCAGAGCAGAGCATCTTGTAGAAGCTTAGGGAGCAGGTTGGTATAGGTAAACTCTGGGAAGGATAAGCAGCTACAGAAAACTGTAGGAAATAAAATATAATTTTTTTAAGATTTTATTTATCTATCCGAGAGAGAGAGAGGGAGGGAGGGAAGGAGGGAGGGAGATCATGAGCAGGGGGGAGGGGTGGAGGGGGAAACAGACTCCCCACTGAGCAGGAAGTCTGACTTGGGACTCGATCCCAGGACCCTGGGATCATGATACTGAGCTGAAGGCAGACGCTTAACCAACTGGCCACCCGGGCACCCTAAAATATAATTCTTATTCATGAAAAGAAGAAGAAGGAAAGAGGTGAGAACTTCGGGTATAGATACAGAAACATAAGCTCAGATGCGTTACTTGATTGTACCTTTGAAACTTTTTGATACTTTTATAGATACACAAACATGGCTCTTTAAGAGTGAGGCTCTAGAAGCTTTCTGGATATGTGCTTCATCACACCGACCCTGCCTCTGCTCTGAGGAGACAGTGTAGCTAGCATGTATGTATGTAGACTAGTATGACCATAATATTTTATAGATGACAATGTTGAATCTCACAAGAGTTAGAGCAATTTCCCATGATCACACAGTAAATAAAATAAAACCGTATCTCAAACAGTTCTTCAGACTCTAATTCTTTGTTCTTTCCCATAAATCAGAATTTTCCAGAAACAACATATATACATGTATGTATGTAAGCATGCATATATATATAATATTTTTTTAAGATTTTATTTATTTGTCAAAGAGAGTGAGCACAAGCAGGGGGAGCGGCAGGCAGAGGGAGAAGCAGGCTCCCCACTGAGCAAGGAGCCTGATGTGGGACTTGATCCCAGGACCCTGAGATCATGGCCTGAGCCGAAGGCAGACGCTGGACCAACTGAGCCACTCAGGCGTCCCATGTATATAATATTTTATTGCTAGAGTAAGAGCTGACTGAAAACCTAGAGCTCTCTCCCATCTCAAGGAAGTATAATACATAAGGCCCTCTTTTTAATCACAACATATTAGGGACTGATAACTTTAACAACAGCAACAACAAAAAGATGAATGCTGACCCTGGAGCAGTAAAGCTTGTTTTTTTCTCCAAGAAAATCATTCATGTTTGAAAACTATGACATTAAACAGTATAGATACTTGTCAACCAGATTTCTGAAACATACATTTCTTGGTGTTTGGTAAAGCCCAGTTCAACTGGATGACTTTGACGCCTACATCAAGGATATGGCCAAAGACTCTGACTATAAATTTTCTCTTCAATTTGAGGTGAGTAGATCAAGTATTTCCTACCTTCTGTGGTAGATGAGGCATGGGACTTGCCAGATTGGGACTGGTTTCATTTCCCTGCTCACTGGGCAGGGCTTGCGATACGGTTCATAATGGGCAGTGTGGTAACTGTGATGGGCATGTCTCATCAGCTGATGCAGAGTGAGGACGTGCACCCTTTGCAGGTCAGGACTAGGGTGGCTCCACTGGAGGAAAAGAGAGAACAAATGCGGATAGTGGGGTGAACAAACACAATCCCAGGAGAAACCATCACTGAACATCAATGCAATCGAGGGTGCGGGGAGGAAAGCAAGGTGAGGATTTAGGTCGGAAAAGAATTTCACTTTCAGGGAATTTTTAGTGTGTCTCTTATGTCACTGAGGCCACAATAAGGGGGTGGTGGATGAAACAGGTCCCCTTTCTCTTCTGGACACAGAAGAGCCTGGGTGGGGTGGGGGTGGGCTCTTACAGCTGTAGGACTCCTGGCATTCTGCTTCATATTTCCTTGTGCAATTTCCTTTACTTTTTTGGGGGGAAATTAGGGAGACAGTTATACCTGGTTCATGTGGAAGGAGGAAAAAAAAAATGGCAACACCTCCTTTCTCTGAAGTACACGTATCCTTTGAGTCCAAGACCACGTGTCAGAGTAGGTGGAAATGAGTCAGCCTCAGATCTCAGCAGTGTAACTGGTCCTCAGGTTTTCTTCCCATATATTTCACAGCTCAGACAGTCTGGGTGGCCTCATCCTTGAGGTTCCTACAGCAAGGCTCAGGTGGTCCATGATTCAAGGAAACCAGGGAAAAGAAAGAGATCAAGTGGCTCTTCTAAATACGGCAATGTTTTCTTAAAGGTCTTAGGAGCTCTTTCGTGTGAAACACCAGGTTGTCGAATGTAGCCGCTTTGCCCTCATTATTCATATTCATTTCTTCTTTCCCCTCATCAGCTGAGGATATCTTAGGTCTGCAAGAAGCAGCAGGAGTCCTGGTGTGGATATCTAAGAGGGAATTTAAGGATGAGAAGAACTTTACTCATGATCAAATACAAGGCCCCCTAATACTACCCACCTGTGGTCATCAGAAATTCCACACAGAACCGGCTCTGTTATCCATTGCATGCAAGTGTGCAAGAAGTTGTAGATGTGACACCAAATACTATACCTCAAAGAATAGAACTTTGGTGTGAACTGGAGATCTATGACAAGGATGGCATTCCAGGAAGAAAAAAACAAAGGAGATTTTCTTTAAGAACACATAAACCAAAACTCAGGCAGAAAATAAATGTCTGGATAACTCTGATAATGGTGATGAAAATCATGATGTACATACACTTTCAAATTCATTGAAGCCTCCAGCTCTTCATCCCTACGTGATGATGTCACCTTGGTGACACAGTTAGTTAGCATCATTGCCCTCGCTGGGAAGGTTAGGAGTACCTCCCAGCTTATTCCATCAAGCCCCAGTGTGATTATTACTGTGCTTCTGAAGTGCATCATCATAAAGAAAATTCAGTGAGCCATTTTTTGGTAAAAAGAGAAGTTGATTTTAGTTGTCAATGACACACCATTCAGACTAGTTTAGACCAAAGAGAGACGGCATTTGTTCAAAGGATGCTGAGATATCTCATCTAACCAAAGGAATCTTATAATCAGAGCTAAACCAGAGGGAGGAAAGGGAGCAGCTCAGTGTCAGGAATGATTGGAACCAGGGGCCACACCCCTGCAGAGACCCGCTCTTTTTTTTTTTTTCTCATTTCTGCTTCTCTCTCTGTCTTGGCCTCTCTCACTCTTTTGCTGCAAACCAACCTCTTTCTCACAGTGGAAAACACTCCCACCCACCCACAACCCCCAAGCATCACATCTGAGAGTTTCCACAGTTTCCAAAGGGAACTGTTGACTCTCTTTCTTATTCAGAGTTTAAAAATTAACAGGAGAGGATACTGATTGCAGGCCTGCGTTGTGACATCCTCTCAAGCCAACTGCAGCCCGAGAGAGCAGACTCACATAGGAACAGGACAGTTCTTACTAGAACCGCTTGGCTAAATCAATGGGGAGCACTATTCCCCAAAAAAGGAAGGATACTGGAGAACCAAACAATAAATGATTTGAAGCTTCAGATGCTTCAAAAATATGAAATGTAGGGTAATAAATTCTATGTGCTAAATGTTTAATTTATAGCATGTTGAAAGCTTTTGTACATTCAATATATAAATGAACACATTCAGGCTTATTCCAAAAGAATTATAAAGGAGGTAGGATTGTACTAAAGGTCTGACATACGTCCTAAAATCAGGTATGGGTATGAGTCTTTGAAAACAGATCCCAAACCCTTAGTTATCATGACCATTTTGCCTTTAATCAATATTGAAAAAAAGCCACAATTTCTCATCCCCTCAATTTGTTCATCCAATGAGTAGGCTGAACTAAATCAGTAGTTCTCAACTGGGCCAGGACCAGGAAGTCCCCTAGGGAGAGTTTGGGAGTGTGTGGGAGTATTTTTGGTTCTCATAATGCCTTGGGAAGAAGCTACTAGTGATATTCAACGGAGAAAGGGACAGGGATGAGAAATGTTCTGTGATGAGTAGGACAGTCCTGCACAATAAAGAATTGTTCCAGGCCAATAGTATTCCATTGAGAGACCCTGGACTAAATGTGGGACGAGGGTACATCCAAGCTTTCTAACTCACGTGTATTAGAGTTCTCCAGAGAAACAGACCAATAGGAAATATATACATGTATAAACACTAATACAATATAATGTAATCATATAATTCATCCATAAGTTCATTACATTATATATTTCTTATATAATTATAGAATTCTTATGTAATTATTATAAGATGCATAGCCTATATACTATAATATAATTGAAGAAATATATATATAAAGAGACAGTCTTATTTATTATTATTATTTTTTTTAGATTTTATTTATTTATTTGACAGAGAGATAGCGAGAGCAGGAACACAAGCAGGGGGAGTAGGAGAGGGAGAAGCGGGCTTCCTGCCGAGCAGGGAGCCCGATGTGGGACTCGATCCCAGGACCCTGGGATCATGACCTGAGCCGAAGGCAGACGCTTAACGACTGAGCCACCCAGGCACCCAAGAGACAGTCTTATTTTAAGGAACGAGCTCACACAGTCGTGAGAGCTCACAAGTCTGAAAACTGCAGGGCAGACTCTGGACCCAGGGAAAAATTGATGTTGCTGCTCAGTCCAAAAGCAACCAGGAAGCAGAATGTCTTCCTCCTCAGGGCACCTCAGTCACTTCTCTTAGGGTCTTCACCTGATGGATCAGGCCCACCAACATTATGGAGAGTAATCTGCTTTGTTAATCACATCTAAAAAAAAAACCCTTCTTGCAACATCTAGACTGATGTTTGACTAAGCACTATCTAGGCTCACCAAGCTGACACATAAAATTACCCGTCACACCATGATTTGAAGGAGCATTTAGTATCTTTATTTATTCTGAAGCTTTTCTTCATCTATCTTTGTTCTTAGAACATTGTTGATCCTATATGTAATTTATTTGGTGCCGAGTCCTGATATTGTATCCCTGCTCTGGTGAGAAAATATAAATTATTCTCCAGAAGTCTGCTTTAAGTCATAGGCTCAGACTGTATTTTTTAACATTTGCCCAAGCAGTGACCCATGGGTGTGACTCACTTCCTTTTTTGTTCACCAGCCCTCAGGCACCACCAGCCTCCAACAACACTCCCGACCCCCTGCCTCCACTCCCTCAGGTTCCATGTCCCGGTACCCTCATCTGTTTTCAAAGACTCATACTCATACCTGATTTTATGATGTATGTCAGACCTTTCACATGGCAGCCATCAAATTTTCCTGAAGTTGGTAATTAATCAAAACTTAAGGGAAAAAAAAAAAAGGTTTCCTGCTCTAATAAGAACCCAAGAGGGTATTAAAATGGCCCAATCAGCTGGTCTAGCTAAATTCAGTAGCTGAACAGTTATTTGTTCTGTTTGTATGAATGCTTAATACTTGTATTCATTTTGATACTGACATTGAAAGATCACACTCATACTGAGACATTACATCATTTATAAGCATTATGCAAATTGAAACTAATGTCTGGATTTACATATATTACCAATACAGCTGTAAGTCATACATGAAGCTCTATGACTTGCTAATTTGCACTCACTAAATACATTCCTTTTTCACTCTGCATCTGATTTTGGATCTGCTGGAAAGATTGATTATCCTTCGGATGAAAATGTGCATCTTTTCTTAAGGAGGTTTGGGACTCAGGGATTAGATTCAGTTCCTCATTTTGTATGTCTCATATGGAAAGGTTTTGAAGAGCCAGACTTTAGAGCTTGAAATTGGAGAGCCCACGAGATATACCATATATTGCTCATTCTGCCATTAATTTCTGTGTTTTGTATTTGTTTGATCAGGAGGCTAATGAAAGCTCTCACCATCTTTGTTCAGAAATGTGGCTGCAAATGCCAAAACGGACTGTATTCCTTGCCACGTAGTTCATGAGAGATGAGCCTTGATTTCTGCTAGTAGCTCCCATTGACAGCTCTTTTTACTTGTGTTCCGGTCCAGTTCACTGGAGACCTACCTGCAGCCTTTGTTGAAATAAGTCACCTTGAACTCTCTCCAACAGTGCTTACTCCGGGGGGTCTTGCTTGGTTCCCAGACCTGAGTTTTCCCTCCTCTTCTAGTTTGGGTCTCTGTTTCTAGGTGTCTATACTAGCGATCTGTCCAGCAGCTGGAGTGTGGCCCCTCAATCCCGTCCTAGTGGGCCAGGGCCCTGCCAGCCCCTGCTAGACTCCCCTGAGGTTGGTGTCCTTCTCCTCCAGTCCTCCATCACCTCCCCAAGATGCCCATTATTACTGCACCCCATTCTTCCTTTAGAGTACCTGTCCTGGGTTGAATTGTATCCCTCAAAAGATATGTTGAAGCCCTAAGCACTCAGTACCTCAGAATATGACCTTATTTGGAAACAGGGTCATTGCAGATGTAATTAGTTAAGATGAGGTCATACTGGAGCGGTGTGGGCTCTGAGTCTGACTGGTGTCCCTATGGAAACACAGCTGTGCGAAGACACAGAGACGAACAGGGAGAACGCCATGTGGTGACAAAGGCAGAGATCGGAGTTATAGAGCTGCAAGTGACGGAATACCAAAGGTGGCCAGCAAACCACAGACGCTAGGAAGAGGCGGGAAGGATGCCCTAATATTCCTCTATAAGTGACAGACGTCAGAAGTCCCTGCTAGCACCTCAATTTCAGACATATAGCCTCCAGAACTATAAGACAATGAATTTCTGTTACTCGAAGCCCCCCAGCTTGCGGCACTTTGTTACGGCAGCCCTCAGAAATGAATACAGAGCCTCACTAAACACCTCTTCTAAATCCCATCTCCTTTAGGGTTTTCCTGAAAACGAGCCAGACCTGGCCCAATTCCACCGAGCCTTGTACCTTGCCACACTTGGCACCTCTCCTGTCAACACCACTGGTGACGTCGTGTCTCCTCACTTGCTCCGTAGTCTAGTAATCGAACCCGCCTGACTCTGATGTCCAACCTGCCCCAAATACTTAGCCCCTGCTGACATTGTTACAGACTCTAGAGCCAGATTAGAGTTTGCACTCTTCTCAGAAGATGACTGTGCATGTTATGGGCTGCCTGTGTCCTCCCAAAATTGGTATGCTGATGAGATGGAGGCTTGGGAAGGTAAGTAGGGCTAGACAAGAAAGGTCACGTGAGCACACAACAAGACGATGGTCACAGGCAGGCCAAGAGAAGCCCCAGAATGACGTCTACCTTGTCAGCACGTTGATCTTAGCCTGCCCAGCCTCCACAGCTGTGAGGAATACATTTCCATTGTTTAAACCACCCAGTCTATGGAGTTTTGCAATGGCAGCCTGAACAGACTGACGCAGTGCATGTGTTTGTGCTTTGCTGTCCCCGACTTGCGTGCTTCAAACTCAGCCAACCCAACGTAGACTGCCACTGGGCTTTGGGGACTGTATTAGATTTCTAGGGCTGCCGAAACAAATTACCACAGTCTTGGTCACTTAAAACAACAGAAATTTATTCTCGCAGAATTCTAGAGCCCGGAAGTCCAAAATCAGTGTTATCAGGGCCATGTTTCCTTTGAAGGCTCTAGGGGAGAATCCTTCTTTGCTTCCTCCAGAGGCTCCAGGTGCTCCTGGCTTACAGCTGCATGACTCCAATCTATTTCTCTGTCTTTATATGGCCTTCTCTTCTCTCTCGTAGAAAGACACTTGTTCTTAGATACAGGACCCACCCAGATAATACAGAATAATCTCATCTTATGATCCTTAACTTAATTACATCTGCAAAGCCTCTTTTTTAATAAGGCCACATTCACAGGTTCTGCGGGTTAGCATGTGGACACATCTTTTGGGGAGCCACCACTCAACCCGCTGTGGATGACTCCGTGGCCCAGGGAAAAACACACAGAGTGGTAAATCATAATAGAAACAAAACTGAAAATTCAAAAATGATTTATGTCAGTTTCAGGCCGTCACCTCGTCCTTTGCCTTTATGAAGATTTAAGCCTCTGAAGTTTCCATATGGCTGGAAAGAGAACAACTGCAAAGCTACTGATCCGGAAACTTAGTATTTGATTTTCCACTGAGTGACAGGCTAAATTACAAAAGATTGCAGAGCATTTTGTGTACACCCGCCGTTCCCGCTCTGCCGTGGTTCAGCCTTGGCAATTTACATTTACAGTGTTCAGCCAATTAAACCTCTCTTATCAACTTAGGGAGGCAACACACAATTAAAGTTCTGTCAGTTAGTCAGCTTCCATATGTGCTCCAGCTCCCAGCTCCAATCTGTTTCCACACTTTTCTTTCGTCACCGAGGCCTCTTCCTGTGGCTCCTCAGTCTGTCCTCAAAGCGGGGGATTTGTGGGGAAAGTTGTCGGTCTGTTAGTGCCAATGGCAGAAGAGGGAGAGGTTATGCATCCAGGCAAAGCAAAACAAAGAATCCGAACAGAAGCATTTCATCGCCATTATCAATAGTGCTGTATTCATATTTGTTGAGTTTAATCGTTCCCTTGGAGAGTCACTATACGTGACTGAGGGATGGAAATGTTGTTAGCCTTATCTTACAGATAACTAAACTGATGTTACCAAGAGTTGAACTACTTTTCCAAGACCCTACAGTTAAGGAGTGGTACACCAAAAGAAGCCAGATGTTTTGACCAACTATCTCTAAAGACACTCTCTAAAGGAGGTAGACTTCCAAAATATTTTAAGCAATGGGAGCATCATTTAAATTAGCGTCTAGCTTCCGAGAGGAACTAACCTAAAAATAACACTGATTTGGTTGAAGTTTGCTAAAAATAAACTTTGTTACTTATAAGAACCATGTAGTCAGTCTTTGAAAACCCTTTCAAACGAAAAAACCACTTATAAAGTGACAGTGACATGCTTCTGGTTAAAGGCATTTAGCAAGCAAGGATTTTGCCTGAAACAGAAAAACTCCCTTTGTGAATTGAGGATCAAAGTCAGCATAGCTTGTCTTTAAGGTTGGCTTCCACTTGGGCCCCAGAGCTTGGGATTTCATGATCTTAAAAAGCCCAAAGTGTTGCAGAATGGAAGGAGGAGAGAGATCTGAGTGATTCAAGTGAGTCCATCCGTGTGGACCACAGCGTTGCATCCCAGTTAGTTGTCAAGGAACTTCTATGTGGAAACAAGAGAAGACTCAAGAACTTGGTCTCTTTAAAGCATATGCTTTGCAAAGAATGCTTATATCAAGATAGAAGGGCCATGAAAGAGATGTGCCTGTTTGGTCTCTCAAAACATCACCAATGTCTCCAGCCCCCTTCAAAAGTCTTTCAAAGATGCTCCCAAACTCTACCCCCATCTATGTATTCCTCTCGATTATGATTCGATGGAGTAAAAATTGGGAGGAATTATGAAGAGTGAAATGTGTGCACAACATTAATGTCCTATCTGAGTAAAAACAATTACAGCCTCAGCTAGTAGTCTCACAGAGAAGTGCATACTCTATAGATCATTCCATCTGTAGATGGCTGTATGTGCTGTTTACTAATATTTCCCTGAACTTTGTACAGGAACATAACCAGATCTGCTGCACTGGTTGTGTACTGCCCAGCTCCAGGGAGCTATTCACACCGACCACACCATCAATGATACCTCCTGGGAAATCCAGGTGGCCTGACCGTACCAGCTTGTTTCCTAGAAGACACATGAGATGAACACTTAGAAGCCCCCCTAGCCCATCACATAATCTTGTTGGAGTGTGATGGTTGTCTGTTTATATAAAAATTGCCCTACCAATGCAATTGGATTATAGGTTTTATAGGAGTACTGATATGTACATACAGGCAGATATTTGGTTGTTCCTATTTTCACTGAAAGGTTTGCCTGCCCACTACTGATTCATCTTCACTCTCCAATTTATTACCAGATACTTAGTGCCTGTGGATCTTACTTCTTGTAACATGGGGAATATTCCCCACTTGTTCCTCACTCTCTTACTACTTTCTCTAAGGCCTATTGCCTGTAGGACAAACACCTACATTCCCCCATAGAATAGAAATGTTTACACATATTGCGTACATTTCAGTTAACATAGACCTCCAAAAATCTGAAATGTGTCTCTGTTTTCAAATTTTCCATACCTTGAGTGATACACATAATTCTTACCTTCTCCATGTGATCACTAAGCTATCCAGGGTATTTATGTATTATATTAGCCCTATTCCTGCAATAATGCTATAGAAGCATCCTATAGGGTTAATCTCAAAATCTCAATGAGCAGCGACAACATTTATTTATTTTCCTCCTTCAAGGGTCTGTAGGACAGAGTCAGGTCTGTTCTAAGCATCTCCTCATTCTGGAGCCAGCAGCCTCCCTGGGCATATTCTTTTCATGGCAGATGAAAGGAAAACCAAACTGAGCAAGCACACTTAAAGCTTCTGATCGGAATGATTGCTACCCAAGTTCATTGGCCAAAGAAAGTTGAGAAGAGTGGAGTGGAGAAGTGCACTCTGTCCCAAAAGGGAGCAACGGGAACATCGTGTGGAAGATGGGGTGTGATAATTCTATTACAGGCAGGGAGTGAGGAAAAATACAGTGTGAACAATAATCCAATCCACACCAACTACCGAAATCTCAACTCTATTCTCTTGTCATTTACAGGAGTTGAAATTGATTGGACTGGACATCCCACACTTTGCAGCAGACCTTCCACTGAACCGATGTAAAAATCGTTACACAAACATCCTACCGTGTAAGATTCTCACTAGAGCCTATCCTGTTCACGTCTCTCAAAGGCTGACAGACTGTTACTGCAGATTCATCATTTTCCCCAATCTCTGGCCAAGCCCAGCTGGGGTCTGAATCCTCAAGGCCATCTCTGCTATTGCATTGGTCCCATTCATGCTTTGATGTTATTAAATAACATAGGATACCATCCTATGTAGGAATACTGAACTTCTTTGCTTTCAACTGAATTGTGTCTGGTGATCAGGAAAGACTGACCATTTGGCTCTTCAGAGATCAGAAATCTTAGCCAAATTAGGATAAGATAATCTGAGCTCTCATAAACTATTTTCAGTCAACTCCCTGACAAGGGAAGGAGTGCAATGTACTAAAATGCCTCCTCTTTCTTACTTCTGGTAGGTTCTCTTGTTGCTTAGCATTTTGTAATAAAAGCAACATTCGAGAAAAAAGTAATATGAAGCATTTAACGGACAAATAAAATACATTCCAATATAAATTTAACTTTCTTCTCTGCCACAGTGGATAGAGGTCGGGGGGGCGGGTAGTGCTGGGAGAAATGGAGAAGGGGGAGGAGGGGAGCTGAAAAAGCTCTAGAAGGAGAACTTTCTCCTTGATCGGCCTTCTTAATAAAACTGCATAGTGTCATCATTATAACATTTTTCATCTGTACACATTCCAGAATGTACTTTTCTCATCTGAAATCTGTTTACACAAAGTCTGTGCAACTCCATCTTCTCTAGATTTCCCAAAGGTAGTGGATTTTCTGGATGTGCTAGGTGACATGGAATTCATGGATTTAGGCTATATCCTCTAGCCTTCCATACAACCCACCAGATACTTTAGTTCCTCTAAATGTCCTGGACAATGACCCCACAAGCTTGAGACAAGCACAGGGGAGCTGATGGAGAGGAAACGGTGATTGAGATGTGTTTCTATATTTATTTAAACAAGAAACAAAGATTGAGGTGTGGCTGAAATATCAGGCTAAAATAAACTCGACCTACTCTGTCACGGGCTGATCTGACTTGCTGTTTGGTTAGGGAAGGTCAAGACAATTCTTTCTGCTCACATTTTTAATATTTCTTTTCTTCTCGTTCTTTACAGATGACTTTAGCCGAGTGAGATTAGTCTCCATGAATGAAGAGGAAGGCACGGACTATATCAATGCCAACTACATTCCTGTGAGTAAAACACAGAAAAAAAAAAATTTTTTTTTAACCAGGCATCCAAATTCTAGCTCAGCCAGAGGAGGACAATTCAAGCTCCGGGGATGCATCCAACAGTTGTAAAGAGAGGCATTCTCCACCTAGCCACCTGACTCTCAGGAACACTTCCCATTATTCCTCTTCAGAATAAGGAATGGGGGGAAAAGCCCCTAGATGAGTAATGTTCGGCTTTCTTTGTAAAAGCTGGTGAAAGCGAAAGTAAATAATTACACTAAAGATCATCTGTGTCGGGTTTAGCTTTCGGTTTTGGCAACTCAACTCAAAGGGCTCCACCTGAGCCCCTGTTCTTTAAAAATAGTGGCTGTTCTCATTAAAAAGGTGTGAGAACAAGGCTTACAATCACGCTGACCTACACGGGTCCGTTACTCTGACTACCTCTTTGATGTAAAAGGGAAAGAACACGACCCAGGTATGTGATCCTTTGCCAGGCTCATCCCCCAGTAAATTCTCAGGTTTTCCTCTTTCGTGTGGACCAGCATTTGGCGTTGACTGGGGCTCCTTAGGTGACAACTTGGTGACTTCATCTTTCAGGGATACAACTCACCCCAGGAGTATATTGCCACCCAGGGACCACTGCCTGAGACCAGAAATGACTTTTGGAGGATGGTTCTACAGCAGAAGTCCCAGATCATTGTCATGCTCACGCAGTGTAACGAGAAAAGAAGGGTAAGTGCCCAAGGGGGCTGTCCCCACTGACAGCACAATCCGTACTAGCCGTGGTCATGGCTTGAGTGCTTACTGTATACCAGAAACTTCCACTTGCTCCATTTTTCCTCCTCACAATAGTACGATACGGTTCTTCAGAGGCAAGGACTTCTGTTTTCCCTAAGTGAGCACAGACTCTTTCTTCCATAGCCTGTTTGTTTTAAAAGGTTGTGCCATTGTCCCCTCAGGTGAAATGTGACCATTACTGGCCGTTCACGGAAGAACCCATAGCTTACGGAGACATCACCGTGGAGATGATCTCGGAGGAAGAGAGGGATGACTGGGCCTGCAGACACTTCCGGATCAACTATGTAAGTCACGAAGCACATTTTCAGGTCCTCATGCTGAGGGGACACCCACGTGTCAGAGGCCAACCCACCGTCACCTCAGACTGTGAGCTCTTCGGGCTTTGCAACAGTGCTTTCTTCAAGAGATAAAGAGATAAATCCCATTTTCTGAATGTATTTGTTTCCCATTTCATCCACAATGGTGTGGATGAAATGGTTGGCCTGGAGAGCCCGAAGAGATGGGATGAAAAGTCCTCATGGTTCCATCTCAGTTTAGCCCAGGGCAAGAGGAGACTCGGGGAATCACCCGCTCACCAGTTATGACTGAGGAGAGAAGTTCTCAGTACTTATACTAAATTCCATGTGCGAATAATTAGGATATATAAGACACACTTAAACTTTAAACACTTAGACCATAACTTAGTAGTTTGGGTTTGGTTTTGTTTGGCTTTTTTCCTTATTTTTGTTCTGGTTTGGTTTTTACTATGTCAAAGCTACTTCAGGCCTTTTTAACCATGGTTCCATACCTCTTTTAAAATGCTATTGATTTCTGAATATTAGCATGTCCAGGAAAAGTCTCCTTTTCCCGGACCTGCTACCTCTCTGATGATTAGCCTTTGAGCTTATGCTGAATGTTTATGTGCTGCTTAGGGGCCAACAACAACCAGTCACCCTGTTGCCTTCTTCACACATGGCAGTCCCAGAAGAGGGGAGGGCATTTTTACTAGTAGTCACTTGAACATGCTCTCTGTTGAGGACAACACTGAATAGGAACATTCTCATTGCAATGTTCTCTGCTTAGAAACAGCACTTCCTAAACGTATAGGTCAGAGGATGGTAGACTGGGCTGTGGACCGATGGACCACTGCTTGTTTTGTAAAGCCTGTGAGCCAAGAATGAGTTTTAATTTTTAAGTGGGTGGAAAAAAAAAAAAGAAAAATAATATTTCTCACAAAATATGGAAATCATATGAAATTCACATTTCAGTGTCCACAAATACCATTTTATTGAGACAGAGCCACACACACATTTGCTTACATGTTACCGATGAGCATTTTTGTGCTACATCAAGCTCTAGTAGTTGCAACAGAGACCCTATGACCCATAACACCTAAAATATTTACTGTCTGCCCTTCACAGAAAACATCTGCTGACCCTTAATGTGGACAATGGAAACAAAGATTGTCCGTATCAATACAGCAGAAGTACTCATTAATTCGTCATTTATTGATATTTGCAAGTTTAATCACTTCTTAATCACTGGTAGTTAACAAAACGGCTTTTGCTACAGGGGAATTTAGGCAAATCCTTAGCAGACTGTTGCTTCGCGCTGTTCCATACTTTTGAAATGGCCATGTCTGCCTGTTCCCTAAACACTTCCCCCTCAGAGTTTCAATTCAAAGGTCACCTCCTTTGTTAAGCTTTTTTCCCTAGTCTCCAGACAGCTTTATTCCTTCCCCCTCTGCTCTAGTCTCATCTAGATTATTCTATCACGGGACACCAGAGATGCTTATAACTGTCTCTCTTCATGTCCTCTTCCCCCAGCGTGCTGTGAGTTTGGGAAGCACGTACCCTGTTGTAATAAGCTTTGTAATCGCAACCCTTTGCCATTTATAAAATCTTTGTGGGATGAATAAATGAGTGAATGAATGAACGATTTCAAAAATAATAAAACACTTGGAAATCTCACAGACGTTCCTCAGGGAAAATATTTGACAGCCCGAATGCCGTTTGAATCCAGCTTTGTTTCTTGGCTGTTTCAGCCGGAAAGCCAGTGTAAACTGCTGGGTAAACGTAGAACAAATAATTCCCTGAGTTTGCATTCAGGAGAAAAGAGACTCCGGAGCACAAAATAGGGTCTGTTCCACGCCTGTTTCCTTGACAGAGAAGAGTCACATAGAGCAGTGTCTGGTCAGTCCTATGCTTCTCGTCCTTGGTCTTAAATGCTGACCTATCTTTCTTTCTTTCTTTCTTTTTTTTTTTTAAAGATTTATTTATTTATTTGAGAGAGCGAGAATGAGAGAGAGAGAGAGAGAGAGCGCACATGAGTGGGGGAGGGTCAGAGGGAGAAGCAGACCCCCACGCTGAGCAGGGAGCCCGATGCGGGACTCGATCCCGGGACTCCGGGATCATGACCTGAGCCGAAGGCATTCGCTTAACCAACTGAGCCACCCAGGCGCCCGTGACCTACCTTTCAATGATAATCGTGTCAAGGGCTCGAAACACTGAAATAAAACATTGAATAATAGTATGTTCTGGTAAGATGCCTATTCAGTAGTCACAAGCATTCGGTCCTAGAGTGCCCCCTTTTGGCCATAAACCGAATCTAAGTTTTAATGCTTCCTGGATGAAGGTTGTATTGCGAAAGAATATTGTGCTGTGCTCATGCGCATGTTTTTCTATTTGTTTCAATTTTTGCTCACACTCTTCTTTATTCCTTCCATATTGATATATGGGAGCTTTCAGAGTACAACCAGATAAAAGTACATGAATGAGGACATCAGGGTAAGAGAAATTTTGAAATGGCTAAGATGAACAAGGATGGTTTTCTCATTTAATAAGAAAGGAGGAAAATGACCATAACACATAATTTGCCGCCTTCCAGGGCTTGAAAACTTGGCCTGAACTGCGTAGGAACTGGAGACTGAAACCAGCAAAAATGTGTTTGTTCCCATCGACGCGTGCCTTGCTATTCAGCTGACAGGGATCACCCTGATAGAGACTAATGACAATTTAAGTGTTTCCCAGTTTTGAACCACTTTGCATATTTTAGCTGGATACATTTTCAGATCAATTATATATATGTATATATATCTATACACACATATGTATTGCCTACCATGTACAAGTCTTTGAGCAAAGCCTGTAATCAGCCTTGGAAAAGAGTTAACATTTTTTGTGAGCTTTTCTGGGCAACCAAAGTTATCTAGTGATTGAGTATGCTTAAATCCTCATGGTGCTGAGTAATGAAATCATTCTGCACAATTTATTATGCTTGGGTTACTTCCTTGCCGTACCTCCTGAAAACAGCAGTGAGAGTCGCCAGCATCTTTGCAGACTTTTGCACCCATGCTCCATGTGTCTAAGAAAGAGCCCTTGAAGGCAGTGAGGGAGGCACTGCATGTGGCTGGGAGTGGATAGCCTTGAGTGCCTAGGGGACAGGGGGTCCAGTCGAAGTGCTGATTTACTTATGTTTACACAGATCTTATTATGTATCTTATCACGTATTTACGTATATGCTTTATTTATGCATTTACTTACATTTATACAAATTTTACTCCACCCAAGGCCACTGACTCTTTGGAATTCATTTCTCTTCAATACCTGAACCTGGCTTTAGTTTCATAACCAGGCCAAATTCTTCCAAATTATGATACAGTATTCCATTCACCGAGCGCATTCTAGGCTCTTAGCAAGTTTGAGGGACGGGGATGAATTAGATCTTTGTGAGGCCTGGATTTGGACTATTTCTGATAGTTGATAATAAGAACAGAATAAATCTTTATGCTTACAAATTAGTAGAGACTAAAAAGAGTGAGTCTTGGGGCGCCTGGGTGGTGCAGTTGGTTAAGCATCCGACTCTTGGTTTTGGCTCAGGTCATGACCTCAGGGCCGTGAGATCGAGCCCCGCATGGGGCTCTGTGCTCAGTGTGGCGTCTGCTTGAGACTCTCCTTCTCCCTGCCCCTCTCCCTTACATTCTCTCAAATAAATAAATCTTAAAAAAAAAAAGAAAGAAGAAAGAAAAAAAGAGTGAATCTTGAAGGCCCACACCCTAACTGATAATTCTCAGTTCAGAGGGGACAAGAACACATTTGACATATGCGTTAATATGAATGAGATAAACACACAAAACATACCGACCCACGGGGATTCCCAGAACCAACCATAAGCCTGCCCTGAGCTGGGAGAGAGTGGTGGTAATTAGGTAGTAGTGATGACCATATCTACCAGGTCCCATCCTTCACAGACATGAGCACACTGAATCCTCACAACCACCCTTGTGATGGGTTATTTTATCCTATGACATCTAAAAGGGCTCATTTTAAGCATGAGAAAACATGTTCAGCAAGTTTGTCTTGGGTCAGAGCACAAGACAGGGATTATCATATTGGTGACTTTTTGAAAGTACAGTCTTGGGTCAAATCTCTACGGGAACAAGGGAATCAGGATAGGCCAGGACAGGGAAGGAGCTACACACAGCTGTGGGTTCCGCTGAATTCTGGCCTCGGCTGGGTCCCACGGAGATGGCCGGGGCAGTGAATGGCACTGTGCCGTTAGCTGTGCCCCCTGACGTAAGGGGGCAGGCATTTGTACCCCAGTATCCGTCATTCCTTAGCTATGCACTGCCCTCATCAGGAGAACACATCCCCTCGGGCACGCTCCAGAAAGGCAGGCAGTTCCCTCTGTGGAGGACAGCTATGAGGAGGACACAGCCATATGCTGTTAGCAGCCGCTGGAAAGGGGGTGCATCAGCCTGGCAAAGGGGACCCAGGGGCAGGCAGGAACCAACAGCACCTTCCATGGGATTCCTGGACCAACGCTGATGTAACTGCCAAGTGGCCGAGCCAGGAGGCACACCCTGATCGGCTTGAGCTCTTATCTCTACAAAGGCATAGATTCGCCTATTTATCCTACTCTTCGAAGTTTTACACAATTAGTATTTTTTTTTCAGGGCCTGCTTTGGGCCAGACACCATCCTCAGAGCTGGGAAGGGAAGGGGACTGGCCAGGAGGGGAACGTGGCTTGAACTTTTGAAGCCATTAACCTGTGAGCTGCCGTGGAGGCCTAGGCCATCGGGCCGGCGCACTGAGACATTCATGCTTGTGTTGGCTTTTTCCCCTAAAGGCTGATGAGATGCAGGATGTGATGCATTTCAACTACACGGCGTGGCCTGATCACGGGGTGCCCACGGCAAATGCTGCGGAGAGCATCCTGCAGTTTGTACACGTGGTTCGACAGCAAGCTACCAAGAGCAAAGGCCCCATGATCGTGCACTGCAGGTAACCTCATCAGCCTTATCTTCTGTTAGGGTCCCACGGGCTCTGCTTTACCAAGCAAAGAGCCCACCGTTCCATATACCCCGTCACACTGAATTTGCCATTATGTAAACTATGCCTTTTTTTAAAATTTACAATTGATATCTTACCTGATACATGATTTACTTATATTATGGCTTTTCTTATCTCCCATAGCCTATGAGGTAGATGTTATTATTCTCATTTTCAGACGAAAAACAAACTGAGAAGAGGGGAGGTAAAGGGATTCACACAAATTCAGGCAGCTAGCATGGGGAGGGATTAGGGCTCAAATCCTTGCCTTTAGGTGCTGTGGGATAGTACCCTAGGCTCTCAGTGATTCTGAGTGGCTTATAACATGGCCAAATACAAAGTCAGATTAAAAATAGCTCATCACAGCCCTGAATAATATAAATATTATTGCCCGCCTGCAAATGGCTGTAGCCCCAGACCTAGAACTAGTGTGTGGCCTCTCAAGCCGACTTTCCAGCAGGGAGTGTGCACCGAACTCTGAGGCTACACAGAAAACTGGATTTGTTTTCTGTGTATCCGCTGAGAGCAGGAAGCGACTCTCCAGCCGGCTCCCTCTGGAATCCTTACCTTCCTCAGGAAGCAGGGTGCCCTGTGGCTGGACCGGGGTGGGGCTAAGGCTGTGCACCCACGCACCTCTTTGAGGGAGGCAGCAGGGTGAGTCAGAAATGTGACACTGAAAGACTCAGTCGGTTAAGCGTCTGCCTTCGGCTCAGGTCATGATCCTGGAGTCGCGGGATTGAGTCCCGCGTCGGGCTCCCTTCTCAGCGGGGAGTCTGCTTCTCCCTCTGCCTCTGGCCCTCCCCACTTGTGTTCTCACTCTCAAATAAATAAATAAATAAGATCTTTAAAAAAGAAAAAAAAATACCAACCACAATCATGTACTTCAAAATCAGGAAAATATTGTCAGGAGTATTTCTTCTTTTTTTCTGAGTGGTGCTACCTGTAGTTTGGGGGGTTTTCTAGCAGCCGATGTGTTTGCAACCGTGTAAAAGGACTGTCTGAGGAATATGCTGTCCAAACACTCTTTTGCAGTGCCGGAGTCGGCCGGACGGGGACATTCATTGCCCTGGACAGGCTCTTGCAGCACATTCGGGATCATGAGTTTGTCGACATCTTAGGGCTGGTGTCCGAAATGCGATCCTACCGGATGTCTATGGTGCAGACAGAGGTAGGAACGGAATCAAAATGTATTTTCAAATATGCCCTGGACTGAGAAACTTCCCATGATTCAGCCTCATGTTTCAAAACAGTTGTCCCAATTCTTATTTTTCTGCCTCTGCTCTTCCCAGTTTCTCAGTGTGCATGTTCAAACTGCTTCAAGGTATTAAAAAAAATAGATCTTAGCCTCTAGAAATCCATTCAGCGTATAGCGCTTGCACTGTGGTTTCCTATGTCCTTTAGTAATCCAGAGCACATGGATGTATCTGTATTATCTGTAATAGAGTAAAACCTCTTTGAACAGACTGAGAGTTCGGTGAAGGTGACAGCCCATCTGGGTAAATGCCAGCAAGTGGAGACTGTGGAACTGATGTAATTTAATTTATATTTGAAATGCTAGATTTGATTCAATACGTTTGGCATTAGTTCGTCCTCCATGTGACTCTCTGTCCCAGTGCACTTTGGATGATGATCAGGGGTTGGATTTATGCTTTCTGTCCCCCTCATGACTTTAAGGATTTCCAGCTCCCATCCAAGCAAGGCTTCCAGTGCCCTTGATCTAAAGGAATGGAATTATCACTGTAACAACATGGGAGCATCCCCAGAAATACCCACCAGTGTTACGTGCTCCCTCTTCCCCCTCTCCCACCGAGTCCTCTCCTGCCTGGAAGCCGCAGAATGCACTCCTCCCGGAGGCGTTAGCCCTGGGCTGCTTGCTGCCCACACACAGCATCACACCGCCTCTGAGCAGCAGCGGGTGGGCACCTGGTGAGCCCTAAACCTACGCACAATAGCTGGCTCATAATCCTCGTCACCGTGCCCTACTGCGACTCTCAGCTTCGAGCGTACAGTAATCCTTTTTGCTCAAGGAGTTGTGTGTGGGAGGAACGCTTGTAGAGTAGAAAACAACCTAGGCTGACCTCTTACTCAATTTCCAGGAGATTAAATGCTGCCTTCGTCTTCCCCATGCTTTTCCTACTAAGCGCCACCAGGTGTCAGTATAACTCAAAGAGCCTGCAGCAACGGCTGCTATCTGTTTGCGCTTCCGGTTCCCCCTCCCCCGCCCCTTTACTTTTCTCTCCTGCTTCCCCACTCCCCTCTGACCAAGGCTCCACACAGCCAGCCCAAGGGATTTATTTCTGCGCTCCAGCAAGATCATACCACTTTGGAAAGAGGGACCCATTCACATGCAGGTGTTCCATTGATGACGTGTTTGTTTGCTCACTTCCTGGAGCCCACTCACATCCCAGCCCTACTGCCTTGGAATTACGGCCGTGGGGACGTTAACATGACCTCATTAGCCTAAGCTCAAAATGTTCTGCTTTCCCAGAGAAGCCCACTACCTAGTGATTAAACAGTGTTTTATGAATCAGTCCATATTTTTGATTTTCACTGCCGTAAACGGACATCCTAATATGTGGTTAAAACTCCCCATTATGTCTATTAATCCCCAGCCTTCAAAGGGCCTCTCCTTATTTTAATTATTTTGGATGTGATGAATTGTCTGCCCCACTGACTTAATTTATGCCTCTTATAACTTTATAGACTTTGATTATAGCCTGGTTGCCTTTGGCTTTCCCAATTACAGAACCCTAATGCCTTTTTTTAAAAACTACCTACACGGGGCGCCTGGGTGGCTCAGTCGGTTGAGCGTCTGCCTTCTGCTCAGGTCGTGGTCCCAGGGTCCTGGGATCAAGCCCTGAGTGGGGCTCCTTGCTCAGCGGGAGCCTGCTTCTCCTTCTCCCACTCCCCCTACTTGTGCTCTCTCTCTCTGTCAAATGGATGAATACAATCTTAAAAAAAAAAAAAAAAAACTACCTACACATGGCAGACCCTCCGTCCAGTTTTCAACACCATTATCTCTCCTCAAGTGTGGTAATCACACCAAACTACAGCAGCCACCGTGTGCCTCTCAGAAGAGCTGAGGAAGTGTTTTGTGTTCTCCCTAACTTTCTGGTCCCAAATTTTGGTTGTTTGGCTTCTTTGTTTATGGAAGCATTTTTAAGTTGCCATCTCCAGGGAAACAGTCTTTTTAAAGTACAGTATCCCTTCCCTGAACTCTGGTGGGAAAACTCAAAGTCAGCAAAAGAGGCGGAGGTCACCACAGGTTACTGATTTTTTTCCAACCGTTCCAGCTTCACTCTTGAGTTCCCTTGGGATTCTGCAGTGGAGGCTCTCTAGCTCGAGTTATTTATTTATGTCTGTTTTGTTAGTTATGTCTGGAACATCTTGTCCGTTTACCTTCGTATTTTCCTGGTTCCTGTGCTTTTCATGGTTCAACCTGGATTCTGAATGTTAGGGTTTTCCTAACATCCTCCTCGAGCCCAATCATAATACCCCAGTCCTGCTGCCTTTGACCTTACTGATGTTAACAAGTAAGGAGCAGAATAAACAAATTATTTTCTTCAGCTTTTTCATCCCACAGTACTCCTTTGACACTAATGATTTTCAAGAGGCCAGAGTGATTCTCCAGCTGATTTCCGATTCTCTATATAAACCACCTGTGTGCTGTGGACCAGGTCCCCTCCCATGGCTGGTTTTCTAATTTTCCTACCTCCTCGATTCTACCACCCGTCATCTCAATTCTACCACCCTGCCCCAGTCTAGAAATAGCAGGACTAACTGAGTAAAACAGCCTGTCCTGAGATGCACATTTCAGGTCACAGCAACGCACTGCATGGGCTACATTTTGACATGTTCTCTTCCCTTTTCTCAGCTGACTGGCACATGGTATGAACCTCTCCACAGGAGCAGCAAGGGGTAGTTAGAGAGTCCGGGTCCGCAGGCCAGACGCTGTGAGTCGGCCTGGATCACTTATGGCCTCTGTACACTTTGAAACCATACAGCGCTCTATATGGGTGGCATTCACCTCTTCTGGGCTCTCTTCTATTTCTATCAAATGTTTTGTTTAGTTTTCCTCTAATAGGCTTTCCCTGGAGGTCAGTTAGGGCTTTGCTTTGAGCAGCCCTCATCCTGATCAGCAGCTTAGACTTCTCAGGGGCTCTCAAGGATATGTCTGTAAATAGTCTCTCATTTACTTTTCCTGTGGTTCAGCTACTTTTTTTTTCTTTGTGACACGAAGTTTGGCCACCGAGTCGTTCTGAATTGAAAAACAAGGCACTCTCTGGCCTGAACCGAGCTCGGTGCTTGATAACACCAGAAACAATGGAGTGATGTGTGATAATGAGAAGAGGTAGTCAGTTACGGATGTGATACTATCACAAAATAAGGGAATATATTTTCTTCAAAGCTTGTTGAAAAATACAGATTAGGCTGAGGTATCAACCTTTAAGTATTAACCTAACCTTTATAAAGTTGTCATACAAAAGACCCCTTAAATCCTTTGACTATAATGACTGGATTTTGTGTCAAGGTTATTTCTAATGGTATTACAGAGAAGCTCTAGGAAATAAAGAAAAAAGGTGAAAGATCATGAAGTTACTTGGATTTCATGGCACCAGGACAGCTTCCTCAATATTTTGATGTATTTCATCTCCATCTTCATTCAAGTATAACTTTTATACTATTATGCTTACATGCTATATGTACATATACTAACTTTACACTGTAATTTTCCACTTAACAGTTTGCTATACATATCATCCCAAATTGTCCAAAACTCTATAAATCTCATTCTAAAGACACTAATATTTCAGTATAGATCTGCTGTGCCTTATTTAAACCATTCTCCTTTTTATAGAACATTAAATTGGATCCTTTTCCACTTGTTTACTATCTGTGTACACAAGGTCATTTACTAGCACCTTAGTAATAATACCTCCACCCAAGATAGATAAAAATGACAGCTTCAACAAACTCATCTTCGAGCGTTACCATTTTCCTTTAGCTTTGCTCATATCATGGATGAAACACAATTGTTTCAACTTACATTTTTTATTATGTCACCATCTTTTGCGTCTGTTTTAATATTTCCTCAGTTTACTTCAGAAAACCTTTCAGAAGCACAAACTGAGGGCTAGGCATGAGGAATAAAAAGATATAGTCCCTGCCTTCCGGGAATATTTGGTCTAATTGCCGATATATTTTATTGGCCAATTTAAGTGTGTGTGTTACTGACTGGAGGAATTTTAAACAAAAATAAAGGTATCGAGATGCATTCGTTAGGTTACTCCTTCCTGCCCGTGGATGCCCACCGAGTAAGCGTCATTAAAGTCTCCCTTCCCACCGCCATTATATCTAAGTCAGTCTCCCAAGAGCCTGAACAGGAGCGGAAGCTCTTCATTGGAGGTTTGAGCTTTGAAACAACTGATGAGAGTCTGAGGAGCCATTTTGAGCAATGAGAAATGAGCTCACGGGCTGTGTGGTCATGAGAGATCCAAACACCAAGCGCTCCAGAGGCTCTGGGTTTGTCACATATGCCCCTGTGGAGGAGTGGATGCAGCCATGAATGCAAGGCCACACAAAGTGGATGGAAGAGTTGTGCAACCAAAGAGGGTTGTCTCAAGAGAAGATTCTCAAAGACCTGGTGCCCACTTAATTGTGAAAAAGATTTTTGTTGGTGGCATTAAAGAAGACTCCGAAGAACATCATCTAAGAGATTACTTCGAACAGTATGGGAAAATTGAAGCGGTTGAAATCATGACTGACCGAGACAGTGGCAAAAAGAGAGAGAGGGTTTGCTTTTGTAACATTTGATGACCATGATTCTGTAGACAAGATTGTCATTCAAAAATCCCGTACCATGAATGTCCACATCTGTGAAGTAAGGAAAGCCCTAGCTAAGCAAGAGAGGGCTGGAAACTTTGGTGGTGGTTGTGGAGGTGGTTTTGGTGGGAATGACAACTTTGGTCACGAGGAAACCAGTGAGGTGGCTTTGGCGGTGGATATAGTGGTGGTGAGGATGGCTATCATGGATTGATAATGATGGAAGCAGTTTTGGAGGAGGCAGAAGCTATCATGATTTGGACACCTACAACAATCAATCTTCAAATTTTGGACCCATGAAAGGAGGAAATTTTGGAGGCTGATGCTCTGGCCCCTTGGTGGTGGAGGCCAAGTACTTCACCAAACCCCTCAGGTGGCTGTGGCGGGTCCAGCAGCAGCAGTAGCTACGGCAGCAGCAGAAGCGATGGTTTTCATGACTGCCAGGAAACAAGGCTTAGCAGGAGCGGAGAGCCAGAGACGTGACAGGGAAGCTACAGGTTACAACAGATTTGTTACCTCAGCCAAGCACAGTGGTGGCAGGGCCTAGCTGCTACAAAGAAGACACGTTTTAGACAATACTCACATGCATGGGCAAAAAACTCGAGGACTGGATTTGTGACTAATTATATAACAGGTTATTTTAGTTTCTGTTCTGTGGAAAGTGTAAAGCATCCCAACAAGGGGTTTTAATGTAGACTTTTTTCTTTTTTTGTACCCATGCTGTTGATTTCTAAAGGTAATAGTCTGATCTTGATACTGAATAAATTTTTTTTAAGTGGTATCAACATTTTGTCATAATTTTAGAAAGTAATTTTCCCTCCCATTTTCCAAGTTACCCTTTATTTTATTCATTTTACTTTGTGTAGTTTGAAATTTTCATTTGTGATTACGTTGCTTTGAAGTTTAGAAAGTCCTTCCTAAAAGTAATCAGAGAAAAACTAACCTGTATTTCCCCCCTTCCCCATTTTATGGCTTAATTTGTTAAACTTCCCAGAATTCATTTTGGTGTATTATGAGATGATACACTATTTTTTTTTTTTCAAAATAGGCCCATGATTTATTGATTGGATAGTCATTGCTTTAGCGTTACATTGTGATGACCTAAGCTCTATTATTAATCAAAATATTTTCACAGTCGATTCTCTTGGATTTTCTAGTTATAAAATTATCTCATAAATAATGGATATTGTTTCCTTTGACATCAGATCATAGTATCTAATCCTGCCGTAGTATGAAAATACTAAATCTTTGCATGTGTTTGCACAATACCTTGCTCTGAACCCTGCTTTGGTCTTTTGCTCCAGGAGCAGTACATTTTTATCCATCAGTGTGTGCAACTGATGTGGATGAAGAAGAAGCAGCAGTTCTGCATCAGCGATGTCATCTATGAAAATGTTAGCAAGTCCTAGTTCAGAATCCAGAGCAGTAAGTAGACGAGGCCATCGTGGGCACTCTGTCTTCGAACCATGGAAGGGGACGTGATGGGATACAACAGAAGGCAGCAGTCACCAGTTGTATTGATTCTGACCCCCCAAATGTGGTTATAGGGAGACAGTAATACCATACAGATCTTAGAGCTTCAGTGCACCTTGGTTGGGGGATGACAGGCAGGAGCTTCGGCAACTCATTATGATTTGACCTTCCTTCCCTGCATCCGGAACTTTCAATTGTTCTGATATTGGATCTGTGCCTGAGATATCAGGATGCCACCCTCCCACTCTGTTTATCTCAATATTTTGTGCAAATATTTTATGGATTACAAGGGTCATACACGGGGTTACAAAGGAGATAGGAGCTGGAGTACACATCCCAAAGAAGAGAAACAATATTAACACTAGTCTCGGGATGGTGAAGTCAAGGAATGCCTTGCTTCCGTCCCTTTTGTGAACACTTACTTGAGAGCTTCCTGAAAACATTAGTAACATATTCAATGCCTTGTGCTCAACTTTGACCAGGAGATCTGATTTTGGAGGTGTTATACTCTTAGCTGAAGTAACAATATGCCAATTCAAGTCAGTAAACAGTGTGAAATGTATCTGAGTACAGTGAGGTGGGGGGACCATACGCAGGGTTGGGAGAGGACAGGGGTGCAGTGTAGGATTCATATGGAAGGATAAATAGCATATGGATAAGTGGATAGCAGGATAGGATTAGTATTCTACCTTTATATCTATCAAAACATAGAAAGCCCAAGGAGGCAGGAAGGGTAAAGACTAAGAAAAAAATTTGCCAAAAAGGGAAACATATTTAGATCCACAAAAGGGACTTAAAGGGAAAAAGATGCACAGATAAGCCTGTGTCCACATGGGCTATGGGGTTGAGTGTGAAGAGAGCAAGTAGTGGAATCGGGAGGAAGATGCTCTACTTCTAGCCCCCGACCTGTCAGTGTGTGCCTTGTCCCTGCCAAGCTGCTTACTGTCTCCCTCTCTCTCTCTCTCTTTCATCCACAGGACAGGACATGCCTCCCTTGCTTCCAGAGTTTTTTAGGGGCCCTGCTGGCCATTTTGCTAAGAAGGGCCCCTGCTTTGTAGTCTGTGGCCAAGGAGATAATCTATCTCACCGAAGCACCGGGAAGACTTAGCCTTAAAGAGCCTACAGTGTCTTTTGGACTCCTTTACTTCTGGACATTTAATAACGGACCAAATTCAACTGAACACCACAAAGGTCCAGACGCTCTGCAAAGGGCAGGAAGCACAGCACTTCCGAAGAGTTTCCTTGGCCCTTGGCTGGTTGGGCTGAGTTTTTTGTTGTTGTTGTTTTTAAGTGCAATAATTTTTGTATGTGTGATTTTATCAGGAAGTTGAATTGTTTTTACCCACACGACCGACCAAGCCCGTAGCCCAAGAGGGAACAGGAATGGTTAGTATCAAATTATACCTCATTGTTAAAAAGTGGCCTGGTCACACATGAGGAAATGGTAATTCCACTTCAAGGAAATTGAACCAGCGATATCTGTCCTCCAACATTAAGCTGCTGGATCAGGAGTGGGGTGGGCGGAGGGGGTGGGGGGAAGAGAGAAAGGTTCTACCCACAGATCAACTGCATATGTTTTCCAAATATGAAAAGCTGTAATCCAGCTGCAAAGTAGAGTAGAAAAAATATTTAAGTCTTATTGTTCTAGTTCTTGATGGTTTTCTTCCTTATTAACAGTTAAGTGTTGTTTTTTCCTGGGCCCTCTTGAACTAATGTCACTGTCCAGATTCTTTTTTCACCAAACCAGATCTGGTTCGGAACAGTTTGAAGAAGGACTCTTAAGACTCCATTGCTGTCTGAGCAACCTTGGTGCCTAGACTTTGCATTCCTTTTTCTGTGGACCTGCATACATGTGAAAGCTATTTCTTTGAGAACTATATAGGCTGTGAAAAACGCACTTTCTTTCCCCCAAAGAGCTGGGGATTTATGAAGTTATGGCAACGAACTGCAGCATGCTAGGACGATAATTTGGCTATTGTCAAGCGTCTCTATGGATTCCAACGGAGGTTTCTTTTGGTTTTGTTTTCTTTCGGGTTGTCGGTTTCATTTTAACCAGTGTAACTAGTAACGTTTTCTTCTTCGGATTTTGTATAATTACAGTACGTGATTGTGTATTGTGACCTTCATGCTGTCAAGATGGACGCTGACAGCATCGTGAAGCCTGTTACTTTGTGTCACTTCCTTAAAAATAAGAGGTGATGGTATGGAGATACAAAGGAAAACATTTGGAGCTGAGAGTAAACACAAGCTGACTGCTTCACTGTGGCAATGTGGCTGTCCCGCCTTCCCGTGTGTGCTTCCGCAGGCTTTGCTCTTCTCTGTGTATCTGATCATCACCCCTTGCCCTGGCTTCCCTTCACTCCTGATCATCTTCACGAAGCCATGTACCTAGGAGCAGCTTAATAATTTATCAGTGACCTTAGTGGTGGCGAAGGATGCCAAGCGAACAGCTCCGCACCCCGCCGTCTCCTGCCACTGAGAAGGCTTGGCCACAGCGGACCTTGGCACGGGTCTCTGCAAGAGCTGGTCAGTGAGTCTCAGGTTCACCTTGCAGGGGGAATGGCAGAGGACACCCAGACCCCGTGGCTTAACAGCTTGGGCTCCTCAGGCGTTGTGAGTTCTCACTCACCTCCCTTCCTCCCCTTCTCGCCTCCCTGCTGCCACCTCCTCTTCTCACCCCTACCTGTTCCATTTCCCTTCTTGGACATGTTCATAAGGTATCACTCCATTCTCAGGAACACACGGGGCTAAAGAAAGGTGGCAAAGGGTTGTGTGACATTCTTAGATTTTCACACAAGGACAGGTCAGGAGGGACACGGGCAACCTCGGAAGGGGCCGATAAGATGGAGCGGGTAAGGTGGAATTCGTTTTGGCTTCGCAGACTGGACTATTACTTCCCCTGAAACTTAAAGCACTTCGTAAATATTTCATGTTTTTTCTTGAGCATCCCCTTCAATGTCGGGATCAAATGGTACCAGATCAGTTTTCCCAAAAGAGAAGATAAAGTATCCAGAGTTTAGACTGAAGGCTCCGAGCTGAGACCACAGAAAGTTCCCACAAAAGCACTTTACCAGACCCTTCCTTCAGGGGTCTCCAGAGCAGTCACTTTGTTCACTGGGACACGGGTGCTCCTGAGGCTGTAGAATTTATAGTGAGGAAAGCATCCATCTGTCAGAAGGCTTGGATTTTCATCCCGACAGTTGCCTTTGGGACTTCTCTCTCCAGAGTCTCCGTTCACGAACTGTAGAATGTCTTACCATAGCTCCAGATTTTTCAGATATGAAGAGTATCAGTATGACAATTCACCCAAAGGTGCTTCGCATCTTGTCCTCTCATGTACCCTAAAACCACTTCCACTCCAGGACGCAATGTGAGCATTCAGAGGGGAGGTTGCCAGGGCCTCTGTATTATTAATAAGGTTGTTGTTGTTGGTTTAATCATCTGAGTCGTGCTACAATGTTCTGAACTCAGAGGTGCTGGCACATACAGGTCGTAATAGCCTACATGGTGCATGGAAAGAGAGGAAGACTTTGGAATCACAAAATATTTAACTTTCAGTGTGTGGAGATCCAATTTCATCACTGCAAAAGTCAATTTCTAAAGTTAACTGAGAAACTACCATGAGGGCCTAATTTATAAAGTTAATATTTAATACCAATATATCCCTCACTACACATTATATGATTTTATTTAACTTGAAAAGGGGAAAAAAAAAGTGATGGATGACAACATTTTTTTGGACAGCATTTTAATTCAAGGCTTATCATGTTCCACTACAAAGTCAACGTGACCCCTCAAATTGAGAGAAGTTAGTAAGATTATTTTAATCTCTTATAAAATCTTTAATCGGATTTTCTAATGTCTCTCCTGTTCTAAAAGCTTCCCCTCCCACCCCCCCGCACCCCACCCCAAAAGGCGATACATCTCTCAAAGAAGGCTGTGGTGTCAACACAGAAGGCAGGGGCTGGAGACGTTGGATCTGAATTTTTTTACAGACCATATGATAGCTGCTTGCTGGAGGATTGGCCCTTAGCCAAGGAGTTAAAGTTACTGAATCCAATCTCTAAGAGCCAAAATCCTCCCCGCTTTCTAGCAAGCAGGCCTTCCTTTCCACCTCAGGAAACGTCTGATATAATGTGCTTCAAACGAGCTGGCTCGCTTCCTGGCTCACAGCTTTCTAGCCGGGTACTTGGCGCAGGCCCCAAGTGCAGAGGCCATGCCCGGGGACTAAATAGAACGTCTCCTTTGGCCAAAAGGGTAAAAAGCAACAAAAACAGAACAGATGCAAATTTCTACCCCTAGTTTTTCACAGCCCCATTCGTATGCATTTGGAAAAAAAAAAAAACAAAACAAAAAACGTGAACTATGGTATCTCGGACACCTGGTCCTTCAGAACAGCAAGTTTCGCTTTCGGTTTCAGCCAATGCTTATGGCCAGGCCTGATCCTGGTGGGTTCACTCGATGAAAGACGGAGTGTGATGTGTAGCTCTGGGAGTTGTATCATGAGGGACATTAAGAAACTGAAGGCCGTTCAGGGCAGAGTCACCTGTGGGAAATAGCAGGTCAAAGTTTCCAAGAACTTGAGAGAAGTGGGGCCCTTAAGCCCGGAGTAAAGGTAGCGTCCTTTGTTTATTTGATCATTAATTCAACAAATGTTTGTTGACCGAATCCTGTTGAACGAATCAATCCATTGACCAGTGAAAGATTTCTTGACGACTTGCGATACGCTAGGCACTGTGAGAAGCTCAAGTGCTTCCATATGGTCACTTTCAAAAATGTGCCATGAAATCCGGTTGTTGTTGGAAGGAACAAGAAAACAGTAGTCAAGTCTTTTTCACCATGTTTCACTTACATATCTCAAAACGTTGTCAGTATATTTTCGGCAGTGCCTACCAGTCAAGAGAACGGTGTCAGGCTTTTTTCCCCATGGCTTGTAGAACAGCGAACTAGCTTCTCATTGTTCTTGTTGCTCATCCGTCACTACCCTGACATGGTCCCTGTTCCTTGAGGAGAATCACCAAGCTAGCCTCCTCTCCTCCTCCAAAGAGGATTCTCCTCAACCATATAGATCGCTGGCGGACGGTGAGTTCTTTTCTACTGAGCCCTTCCGGCATGCAGAATTGCCCCCTCACCGGGCAGTCCATCCCTTCGTTTGTCAGAAAGCATTTCCTTCTTTTGTTTACATATCTAACCACCTTATTGCTAACATTAAGAATGTCTGCGTCTATACCTCTCATGGATATAGGCTCGAAGCCCAAATCGTGTCCCCATTTTGGTAAAAGGCCAGGTGCCGTATGTGGGTGCTAGCGCCCAGAGCAGCAGAACAGAGGTCTAATTTCAAACCATTCCATTTGAGAAATAGTCAACTTCTAACCCGCTCAAAAAATCATTTATTTACTCAACATCCCCTATGAGGCACGGGGGCTATGAAGATGGATGAAACAAGGTTCCTGCTTCGAGGAATTTCTATTCTATCGGGGGAAGTTAGAAGTGAAACTAAAGACAGCAAAGTGTTACACGTGCTGTGATAGAAAAACATAAAACATCCAATGTGGGCCCAAGAGCGGGACAGGTGATTTTTTTTCTAGAAGGGTCAAAAAAGACTACCCTGCCATATGAAAGTGTTAAAGACCACAGAGCCATATTAAGAAACACTAATGATGTACACTCATTCCTGCACTCAGCAAGCATTCATGAAACCCACTGTATCAGTCACCAGAGCCCCCATATGGGCAACTTAACCTCCAATCCTGCCTTCTGAAACTTTTCTTTCTAGATGACTCCAAAGTGACAATTTCTTTCCAAGCCTCCACAGACAGCTCTAGCTCACGTGTTATTCCGCAGAATCCAGTGAATTTACTATTACTGCCGATGTAACAGCACATCAAGCCCACATTTGCCAGCTACTTACAGTTCGTGCTGTGCAAGGGAAGATAGGCAGAAATGGTCAACTCTACTCCCTGGCCTGTGACCACTGAAAATCACCCAGGAGCAAACTTCCATCTCTGCCTGCTTGTCTGTCTGTTTTTCTCTGTCCCTCCCTTTCCCCCTCCAGATCGAGATGGTGGTGCCAAAAAGACAGAAGGAGGCTGGTACCCTGAATCACTACCTGGAGCAGGAATACCTGCCCGCAGGCCCATGATGTGACCAAGTAACACATTTCCATTGTGTTCTCACAGTGATTCTGGTATCGCCAGCCCGGGCAGTCAAGCTGCTCTGAACTAATATGGCAGCACAAGGATATGCTTTATGACCGTGGGTGGCCTCCGTTACCATGGGAGCTTTCCAGGGCAGTGGTGTGTACTTCCTCATAAAATTCCCAGAAGGCAGGTGAGAAATGAAACAGAGCAGAGCAAGGTTACCCCACAATGCAAACAAGTGCTCAGGAAGAGGCCACAGGAGCAATGATGGTTCTTTTAATAAAGTTTTCTATGGAAATATATGCATTCTTCTCCAGAAGTGGTTTTACCTTGCATTAGATCTCTCCTTCTCTTTGTTATCCTTTTTTAAACCCTATCATAAGAAGACCATTACTTAGGAAACCCACTTGAATTCTTTAGCCTTATGTAAGGCTATTGGCTCTGAATCAAAGTCCTGGATTCCTATGAACAGTAAGCCCCACTGTGGTTTCACATCAATAAAAGCCCAAACGTACAGGAGGCCATGAGGCTTGGCGTGTGCGGTGATGCTCAGGAAAACTAGGAAAAGTTCACTGGAACCACTACCGCATTTACAGCTACAGAACAGAATGGTCTTGGAAGGGCTCCTTTACGCCCCAGACCAAACTAGATTACATCCTCCTGTAACCTGTGAGTGAGCTTGGGAAACAGGCCAGCCAAGGGTCCAGCAGGATAGCAGAAGGGAGCTGCTTAGAACAAGAGACAATGGGTAGAGAGAGACTTGAGCTGAAACTCTGCCCACCTGTGACTCAGTTGTCTCATCTGTGAAATGGACATGGTGATGGAGGCTTTATGGTAGTATAGGGCTTCAAGAAGATGCCATAACATGTGGTGGGGCTGAAAACAGTATGTGGAAAAACACAGCGTATTCCATGGCTCCCTGGGACAAGCCAACCACCCACTGTCCCCAAGGGCCATCTTGGAATTCTTGAATACATTTGATTAGAGCATCTGAAGTTGGTCCCTGAATTGGGCTGGGCCAGTTTCCCCAGGGTGACAAGTGAACCCCCACCCCCACCCCACCTAGTCACACAGCTCAGAATTTAAAGGAGGTGCAGCCTGTGATGCAATGTGGACTCTTGTGTCATAG